AAGTATTTCACGCTTTTAATCGAGTTTAAAAGTTATTAATATTAACTTATTATGTTGATATTTATTTTATATTTTGTCACTTTTTTACAATACAATTAAAATGTTGATTCACCGCTAATATCGATATCTCACTCATATAAAAATGTTGATGGAAATATCGAAATTGTCGGTCGAGAGATTTAATTGGTGCGTTACATTCAACCATTGATATGATGGGGCAGGGGATTGCTTAAGATACTAAACTTGTTTACTTTGTTTTTATTTAAAGGGTTCAAACAAAATTCTCTGAAAATTCAAACCCAAGGAGGACCGACAAAAGCAGCGATAAAAATAATTAATTTGGATGAATTAAATTAGCATATTTAGAAAAGAAAAGCTGTGGTCTCCTCTCTTTTCTTAAGGCTTAAAAAATAACAATCGAAGAAAATGAAATCAATCATTGTCAACCATAACAGCTAGCAAACCCCGTTCGATTTGAATAATATTAATTATTTTGTCAAACAAAATAGTGAACTTTTTATCTTTGGTTAAACATTTGCCTGCTGATTTTATTCGTTATGTTGGCAGTTTTCTGCTTATCGTTTTCTTTTTAAATTTAGTAATTTATTAGGTTTCTTCCATTCTTGGGTAATTGATATGACCATTCAGATTTTGTTTCTCTGATTTTGACGTATAATTTATTTTAATAATAACTTTTTGTTTTTACCCTCCCCCTACTCTTTGTTTTCTAGTTTTTTTTTAATGTAATTTGATTATTGTACGTTAATTATTATTTCTCTAAGAAATATTTTTACATTATCTGTATTCTTTGAAATAAATAACATTTAATTATTATTTCTACCGTCCACACAATAACTATTATTTCTTAAAAAATTAGGTACTTGTGTTTTCATGTTTTAATTTATGTTCCCAATTTACGTAATGTTGATGAAACTCATATTATCATTACAGTTTGCTTACAATTTTTTTATATCATTTTTCTCCTAAAAGTTATATGATTTAACGCTACTAGTTTGAATTTTAATGCTACAATTATACAAAAATAGTAGATAGTTTAAAATTTTTCCATAATCATGCTCATTTTTTTTTTAGTTCACACAGTTGTATCCGTCAGTATGCTATAATAATCAATAGATAAAAAATGAGATCAAGGAAAAATTATATAGTTATATAAATAAACCATAGATTGACACATATTATTAATAATAATTCGTACCAATAGTTATTTCATCATATTTAGTAATCGTAAAAAATATGTACTGAGTAAACATAATTACAAAATAATTTTTTTACTATTTAGTAAATTATGAAAACAAATGGTTGATATGTAATAAAAAAAAAGGACTTAGTAGAATTTTTGTTATTTTTCTAAATTCCCCTCTCTCCCACCGCCAAAAAAACAAGTAGGGGTGGGTATTTGAAAATTTTTTTTATTGACATTTTTTAAACCATCAAATATCAATACACAGATCGTTTTCAACTACATATAATTAATACATTAAATGCATGGTACAACTTATTGATTAGATTTACCTACTTTCTTGACGAAGTAAGAAATCTATTTAGAGGTATCAAATCTAGGTAAAGATTAATGGCATGTCACTTATAGAAACTGTAACAAAATTTAAAAATACTTCCAAATATATTAAAAAACATTTCATGATATTTAGTTTACTATGTCAACAGTATTTATAAATTTTTTTAAAAAATAAGTATTTAATTAGGTACATGTTTTTTTTCCTTTTATATAATTATACCCCTTAAATTAATTTCCAACATGAAGGTGGAAAATAAGTTAGAAAAAGGGTGGAGCTTCACGAGTAGCTAGACCCAATCCATATATTGAAGTTACAAGTTAACGTCTTCATAAAGCCAACCACACGTTGTTCATCGATTGTGAAATATAAATATGAAGAAATGGAGAGACGGGCTGCAACTTGATTCCCTTGACTTGTTTTCTTTCAATTTCGTCTCCATGGAAAATTGTTGCTCCATAGCTTCTCCCACCAAAACTTCATTTTTGGGTAGAAGAAAGAAAAAACAAAGTTATTTGTACATGAGATATCAAGAACAAGTTGGGTTTGTCCCCTACTACCCTCAAGTCAAAGATTGTAGGTCATCCTTTTCTGACCATTTGATTGAACCCATTTTTGGATCATATTTTCATACTTTTTCTGCCTTCATTTTGTGTACACCCTATCCTTCACATATTAATAATTAAAGTGTTTGGACCTCATATTTGTTGTAAAAAAAAAAATTTAAAAATCTTTACGCTACTTGGAAAATACAATATAACATGTGGACCAACCAACTTGACTCAGTATCGTAGAAAACAATGAACTAGAATAGCGGAGGAAGACCGACTTCAACCCAGGATTGAGCTGATTAGACCAGAGTTGGGTAGGAGACTCCCCTAAAGTTCTCTTAGACCGACCTGAGGACTCTAACCTCAGGTCGACCTGGGGCCTCCGATAACAAAAATTGTTGGTCGGAACGCTTTCAACGCTGTTGTCCCCTGGTTATGAAAGGGATATTTCACCTAATTTATCATATACGTAATTCTGCTTCGAGAAAGACTTATCGTAGCTCGTGCTTATATTCTAACTTGAACGTTGGAGTGTTTGTTCCCTTTTGCATGTCCCCCCTACTTAAAGATCGCACCTCGTCAGCTCATCCTCGTGGCCACGTGACCGACCTACGGTAGCTTGACATAATCCTTCATCAACAGATTCAATATTAACATTTATGCACAACTGATATGATATTAATAACAATGGTTAAATTTATAAGTTTAATAATATTCCTAAACCTTGAATTTTTTACTGTAAAAGTCATTACTACGAAAACAATGTTGACTAAATGATGAAATGCCTATAACTAAACAAAAAAAGTTATTAAACAAGACGTGGTAATTAAAATAGATGGCAAAAGAAAATAAATTAGTTAAATAAAATAAAATAAAATGGATTAGAAAATGATTTTTCTCGCAAAGTATTTGGCCTGCTTGTTCAGCCTGACCTGTGCCACCTAATTGTCTAATTCTGCCTTCTACCGATTTTTAATAAACCAAGTCATAAACCATAATTTGTCCAATAAATATACCAACAATATTATGTGGCTAACACTATTAATAACACAACTCCAAATATATCCATCAAAATTTAGGAATTAAATTTATAATATGATGATAGGTCAACAATTAAGGCATTTCTACTCCATATTCACCTCATATTAATGATATAATATTAAAAAAAATTATGAATGGAAATTTATAATTTAACCTAGTAATAGTAGTAGTAATAATAATAATAATAATAATAGTTTTTTGGTATACAAAAAAGAATAATATGTGTAGATGATTAGGTGAATAATGCTCATCTACTTCCGATATAAAATTTCAGCACTCCAATGCAATAACAAACATGTGGGTTGCTTTGAATTTTAGTACACATGACAATTATATATTATTTTAAAGAAATTTGACAAAATTCCTTCCAAGATTTGGGCAGATATTTCCAGCCATGAGAACACAGTTCCCCCTTTTAGTCAAAAAAGTTCCAAATCATAGAATATGTCTAAAAAGAACCTTTGCTCTACAACCTACAGCTTTGTGGCGATACAACGGGCCCTTCTTATTCATGTGATATACGCGTAAGCGCCCTCTTTTCTGCCGAAAATTTTACACCAAACTTGAATAATTTTGGTCTAAATGGTAGACATAGATCGCGGTTTGAGACCTTTTTTTTCAAGTTCTTTTCACGTTCTATGTTTGAAAAAGATCCACCTGGGTTCGTTACGTTCACCAAAACTAGAGACCACCATGCATGGCCTAGGCCTATGTAGCCTAGCTCTAGCTCTCAGTTTCAGCTCCTGTGGACGACATGTAGGCTTCCTCTGTCGGCTCGGCTTTCTACTAACGTCCGACATGTGGTCGTGTGTTTTGTAGGAGATGAGGAATTGAAAGGGATGACGACATGACGTCCCCTTTCGTCTTCCATGATTTCAGGCTATATGGTGGGGGACCCGGTTGTTTAGCCAAGAAACTGGTGTCTGTGTCTCTTTTAAGTGAATGGGCTCCTTCGGTTTCATTACTAATGGACCATTTTGAGTCGGATTTTGGGCTTTCGTGGGCCGTCCTTCAAATTTGATCCTGGGAAGAGAATCACATGCCGGCTTAAAATCTTATTATTATATCATATGCGCTTAAAGAAATAAGAAATTATATATAAATATAACTTAATTCGAGTGATTAAAACATCTTTTTTTTCCATTAGAAGTTTGAATGTCTTCTATATATTATTAAACTACATATATTAGTTTTAGATTAAATCTCGTGGTTGTTAAACTTTTAAAATTGTTTTATTTTGTACGGTCTATTTTAATTTCTAAACTTTTGTGTTTTTTATATTTATGTTACTGAAATTTATGAAAAATAATCATTTTTATTTTTATTTGTTAAATTGTTTAATGTGTGGTTTATATAGTTTTGAGTAAGTGTATTATATGTCTTGGAGTGATGTTGAAGTGAGTATTAGATGAACAAATATTTAATTAATATCCAAAATGATTTTTTTTTTTACTTTAATAACTAAAATATATATTTTGAATGTTTAGGAATAAAAATGGTCTTTTTTTTTAAACTGATCTAAATTCATAGAATATTAATACTAGATAGATGAGATTATCATAGTTTGAACTCATTCCCTTTTTGATAATTTATGGTCTCTCTAGACCAATTATAAGATTCAGTGACTACAATTGAAAGTGTTTAAAGACCACAATAAATTAAACCTAAAAATTTAATAAGAAAAATGATATTTAAAGCTTTAGTTTATAATAAAAGTTGAAATTTATCGTATATTTATATTAACTTGATTGAAGTTGATATTATTCCTTTGCAAAAAGAAGATATAATTTTATTCCTCCACAACAGGAGGGCTTTTGAAAATTGAAATTACTGATCACTGGTCTACGTCCCCATTTTACATTCGATAGATTCAATTGGAGCTTCTCCCGCAATACATTCAGAATCCAAATTATAGAAAAGAAAAATAACCCAATGTAATATCAACAATATAATAAGCAGAATTAACTTTCAAAACGCAATAAAGACCCCAAAGAGAAAAAGGGCAATCAACAAAAATTAAAGCAACAGAGGAATTCGATACCTCCATAAACTTAAACTTCACTCATCTAATTAAATTCATTCTCCATCTTGAAAAGCCATCCATTCATCAGATCATCTCCAATTCACTTCACTGGTCAATTTTGTCTCAAAATTAAAGATGCCATTCCCGATTTGGCTTCTCCTGATCCTGACATCTCTAAAACCACCCAAGGCCGAAGCAACGAAATTATGCCGAAGCAGCTGCGGCAACATCCCCATCAACTACCCGTTCGGCATAGACGACGGCTGCGGCAGCCTGTACTACCACAACATCCTCTTCTGCACAATTTACGGCAAGCTCGAGCTCCGGACCGCCACCGGAACATACCCAGTCACCGCCATAAGCTACTCGGACCCCTACATCCTGATCTCGGACCCGGACATGTGGGCCTGCCGCGACGGCCCAAACTTCCGCCAAGCCCGGCCCTTCAGCCTCGACCCGGTGAGCACCCACTTGTCGGTCTCCCCTCTCAACCACTACCTGTTCTTCAACTGCAGCGAGGAGGCGGTGGTGATTGCGGCCAAGCCGGGGTTCTGCGGGCGCTTTCCGGAGCGGTGCGACGAGGCGGCGTGCGACAGCGCCAGCTATCTGTGCACGCACGTGCCGGAGTGCGGCGGCGGGGCGCTCGGGGGGAGCTCCTGCTGCTCGTACCGACCGAAGGGGATGGATTCGATGCGGGCGATGCTGGAGTACTGCGGCAGTTATACGAGCGTGTACTGGAGAAGCGTGGATCAGGATCAGGTTCCGGAATATGGGATTCGGATTGATTTTGATATTGTTGTTACTTCCAGTTGCCTTCGTTGCCAGGATGTTTTGAAAGGTGGAGGGGCCTGCGGATTCCACGTTCAAACGCTGGCCTTCTCATGCCTTTGCGATGACAAGAATGTCACTACCTATTGTCGAGGTATAGTATAAATATCGTTGAATCTATGCTCATAATTCAATAGGGGAAAATACTTGGCTGCCTGTTTAATTAATTCATTCAACAAAATTTTAACAACTCACTCAATATCATGCCAATTTTAACTTTTACCAACAAAAATGGTATAATTGAAAATTTCAGACTAAATTGAAATTTTTTTAATAATAAAAACCTTATATAAACATTAGGGATTAGGGATTAAAACATATATAAAGCTAGTCACCTTACCTTTCATTTTGTTATAGATATATATAACTAAATTAAAAAATGCATAAGAAATTATTAAAGCAGAGAGACATTTATTTTAATTTTTTTAGAGTATATAGACTAAAAATATAGTTTTTTATAGTTTAAGGATAAACTTACAACTTACCCTTTCAGCCATTTGATTTCTTTGATTGGTTTTTCCGCACATATAACTGTGTTGTGTCATTGGGTGTGCAGATGAAAGCATTTCAGGAGTTGGCAATAGGCACAAAATTATTGCAGGTAAATTATATATATTGAAATTCCTTAAAGTTAAGGTTGGTGGTTTCGAAATAGCTTAATTATATCGTTTTAATCTTGTTTTGGGTTTGCAAAAAATGGATTTATTTCAGGGACAGTGAGTGCAGTTTCAGCAGCTGGGGCATTGGGAATTGCTGCTGGTATCTTGTTCCTCAAGAAAATGAAAGCCAAAGCCCCCGTCACATGTGGGGTTCAAACAAATGATAATAGGCTTTTTTGAAAACACTGAAAATTAAAAACAAAACAGGCGACACTTCTTCCCTTTCACTTTCTCTTTTTGTCTTCCTGTCCTTTCTTTCTTGGGAGAACGTTTTTGCTTCTAATTTTATGCTTGGATCCGACACGTAATTAAGAACCAAAAAACATCGTCGTTCTCAAATGATATGGTCATGTCACAATTTCCAATTTTATTACACACCAGATAAGAAAATAAGCACAACGACATTTCTCAGAATTGAAAAGTGCAAAACAACAATATTTAAGTCAAACAAGCTTTGCCAACTGCACAACTCAAAGGGCCAGCGGAATCAGTCAAAAAGGGAACTAAAGAGCCATGAGCAACAGGAAATGATTGAGCTGGAGTGTAGAGTGGGGTACAAGTTCCCCACCCAGATGGGATAAAATAAGCCCCATTCAGAAACACATCATTTGAAGACCTCCATTTCCATTTCTTCCATCCAAACCCATCAATCTCTCTCTTTGTAACCTAGAGAAAATGAATCAAATCCTTATCACAGCCCTTAATTATCAAGGAAAAATGATTGATTAATGGTAGGCGTCACAATGTGACTGACTTCTAATGTAATTTCTAGAGATATTAGTCATTCTATTTATCTATCTTTTATTGGATCAGATGCTCGTTTGAACTTATTGGACTTTGATACCATATCAATATTCATGGATTCCATTTCAAAGTTAATTAACAATAACAAGAGCAGTCTATATCTATTATAAATTTTTTTTAGATTCCTTATATTTTTAATATAGGATCCTTAACCATGAGAATGCAAAAAAATCAGCTATATATCGTTCCAGTTTCCACAATAATTTTTTTTTATCGTCGAGAGTTGAGAATTGTATTTAAATTTTAGAACTTTACCTGTTTTGAAAAAGAGTCATCAGGAGCCATGAAGTAGTTTCCTTGGCTGAAGATGGTTGGATCTGCACTGCCACCAACAGCGTACATTTGCCACTTATTGTACCAATTATTGGCAACATGGACATATCCAAATCTCACCCTGCATTAATTTATCAACAATTCAACATTTTCGGTGAGCTTTTTGTTATGTTATGTAAAATTGAAGAATAGAAGAGATCTATTTGTTGTCCTGTTATGCAATTTGAATTTACCTGGGCATCCTTTGAACAAGCCCATCGCCAAAACGATTGAAAGCTACAGTGACTCTCATAATTTTGTCAGCTGTAAATTCATCGTTGTGCCCAAGAAGGATCACCTAAGACCAACCATTGTTCCATTAGTTAGAACTATGCATTAAAACACATATACATGTTGACTTTAATTTTTAGTTAATTTTGAAGAAAAATAAAGGATAAAATTTAGATGCTATAAGTAAGTTGGGATCTCTTAATTACTATCCTTCAAACATAGACAATTAAGAGATTAATCTATGAAATAAATTGAAGGAAATAAAATAAATAGCTGTCAATTTTTTTTAATAGTGTACCTACTTATCGATAATTAAAAATAAAAGCTTTTGGTTTACTATATTCTACCCATATTTTGACCATCAATTAGCTTAATTAAAAATTAAAAACATGTTAGTTATTATTTAACTTTTTTTTGGGCCCGTTACTTTTAGCTAGTTGAAAGCAATTTTGATTTTCTTAAAAAAAAAAAGATAAATTCTTTTTTTTGTTTAATTATAAATTTCTCCCTAAGATTTCATAAATTATGTTTATCTCTAAATTACTGGGTGGTAGTGTTTTAATGAATCTTTTTAGACTTTCAAAAAATTGTGTTGCGTAAGTATTTGAAGTTTTAATTTTATGCCTAATAGATTAGTGACATATTTGTATTTAATAGGTCAATGATCTATTAAAAGCAAAATTAAGAGTTCAAAAATCTCTTAGACATATATTTTTTTTAAGTTTAAGAGACATATCGAAACTAATATTATTTAATTTTAGAGACATATATATTAGACCTACTTTAAAAGTTAGATACTGATAAACATGTAATTTATCTTTTATTTATTTATTTTAGTCATACTTTCTATAACATAAAATAGTAAGTTGAAAACCGGGTAAAACTAGTTTTTCATTTTTGTTTTCAAAATTACTTTTGAAATTGTAATTGAATCTCTGATAAAAGTTAATGTTTTTTTTATTTATATTGAAATCATTAGATTCATAACTTTGGTTGGAATCACAATTTTTTTTTTCAAGAAAAGGTCATTCGAGAAAACATTTTAAAAGGAAAAAAAAAACATCTTTTTAAAAAGTGTCCAAAAATACATTTTTATATACTTAACATTAGAAAAAAAAAACTATTTTGGAACTTAATTTTTAAAATTAATTTAAGAGAACTTGATTTTATCTTTAAATTTTGGGTAAAATTTTACAATAATTTTGGTTAAACGATAGAGAAAACAATCTTATTCCGCAAATAACAGATTAAAGATGTCACGAAAACAGGGTTAGAATGTTATAAATCAGTTTAGGGTAAATTATTTCACTTGTATAAAGAGATTCAATTCAAACATGTACAAATATACAACATCTATTTTTTTCTGTAAATCACCATTAAATTTTTTATAGGAAAGAAAAAGAAAAAATAAATTTTTTTATTTTTAAAAAAATTAAAGAATTGCACATTTTGAGTAATTGAGGTGTTTATAAGATAAAATTTAGTGTTAGATTATTAATTAGGCTAAAAAGCGAGGCCTACTTTGTCATGTTGAGAGAAGTAGTTGTTGGAGATGGTGACGGCAGTGGAGGCATGGATGACGTCAATCAGCCCATCAGTGCAGCGAGCCAGCGAGCAGTGGTCGATCCAAATATGGGAAGACGCAAATACGGAAATGGCGTCGCCGTCAGATTGTTGGCGCTCCCCATAGTGCGTGGCGCTGCTCCTCACCAGCCCGGCCTTCCCGGGCTTGCAGTCGTGGATGCTGATCCCGTGGATGATCACGTGGCTCACGTTCTGAATCGTTATGCATGCGCCGTACGCAATCTCCACGTGCGCTCCTCTCCCGTCGATGGTCTTGAAGCTGCTCAGCATCAGCTCTCTTCTGGGCCTGATCACCATGTCTCTTGCGAATATTATCCACAATGGCTGCGGTTGGATCGCCCCGAAACGCAGCGTCCCGGGCTTGGGATTTTCCTCGTCGTCCGACGGGTCCGTGACCACGTAGATCACTCCGAATTTCCCTCCCATTGCATCTTTGCCGAACCCGACCGCGCAGTCGGCCAAGGCACGGCGGTCGGCTGCCCAATGGGGGTTGCTCCGCCAGCATGCGTCGATGGGGTTGAGGAGGATTCTCTTGTCGGAGTAGGCTCGAGAAGGGGAAGGGAGGGCGGCTAGGAGGAAGAGGGGGAGTAGAAAATGGTGGGGGAAGGAGGCCATGGCTTGGGGTTTGGGGTTGGCATGTGGGAAAGTGGGAGTAAATTATAGGGGGAGTAAGAAATTAGTGGAGCACACGAAATTGGGGCGGGGTGATTTTGGTAGAGATTTGGTGGTGGTGTGTAGAGTATTAATTGGATATATTTTGTGTGTGTTTTTTAAACGTGGTTGTGTTGTGCCACCCTCTTGGCTTTACTTTGGTGACGAAACGTGCTTGCACGAGATTCATTTTGGTGGATTATTCTATTTCTAATGTTTTCATTTCAAGGGGTTTTGGTTTTCGATAATAATCATTGAAAGATTGAGTAGAAATTACGGTTTTATTGTGGTGTGGGGATTTTGTTATTGGTTGGTCGAGTTTGATTAATTATCTTGTGATTCACGAGGGTGCTTCTCTTTTTTTGGGCCTTGGAGTCAGGTAATTGAGAGTGGTTGCATATTTAAGTGGCTAACTATGAAATCGATCGAGCTATCTATCGTATAAACCGTACTTTCTCAATGACCCTTATTTTTATTTTTTGTTAAAAAGAACTTAGCTCATTTTTTATTGAGATAAATCTTAATTTTTAGTTTCTCAATGACATTATAGTCACTAATTATATTGTATCAAACACACGCTCTAAGAAATTTATCTTAGAGGGATCATGTGTATATTCAGATATCATTCTATTACTATTAGTGTGAGAAGTAGGAATTGATATGAACAAATAGGATAAAATGGCAGTATTTAATCATAACTGTTGAGTGGCAACTACGAAGTTGTTAGCGTGGAACTCTATCACCCTATAAAAAGGGTACGGTGAGCATAGTGCACTTAAAAGGGAAGGTGGGGAATGCACGATATCGATACAGACACCTCCAATATGGTTAGAGCTAGGTGTCGACAAACTCACTCAACAAAATGTCTGGAGCGATGTTAGAGGCATACCTAGACACTGAAGCACACCATCTCTAAATGGGAGGAGAATAACTATTTACAATAAACATATAAAATAAAAATAAATTGTCAAATGAGAAAGTCCAATAAGTAATTGCTACATCATTCTTTCAATGAGTTAACTAATGGTGCTTAGGAACTATTTAGAATCATTCTCCAATTCAAGATTAAAGTGTTTCTCTTAAACTTTACCAAATAGACAATTTTTCAGGAAAAGAAAAAAAAAAGAAAGACCAAATGGACACAAAATTCAGACTTGAAAATACTATATTTTATTTAGAAAAAAAGAAAGAAAAGAAACCAATTTATTGACAGGTGTAGCAAGCCCCATGGTCCACGTTTCTGGACAGTCAGCATGCAGCCAATTGATTTTATTATTTAGGTTAAACAAAATCCTACTCATCCATATAGATAAAAGTTAACATTTTGCTCTAAAATCAAATTATTTAGACCTTATTGCATAACTATTTTGTTTTTAGTTTTCTATATTGAAATATTAAACTTGTAAAATGTGTTTCTTGTTTTAAATATGTTTTTTGAAACCATATATTTTCAAAATCCAAATAAAATTCTAAAAACTAAGGAAAGTATTACTTTTCAAAAATTTGTTTTTGTTTTTGAAATTTAAATTGAAATATTTTTTTAGAATTATGAAAAATGTGACCAATAATAATAATTCAAAAAAAAAAAAACTAACAATGAAGTGGTTATCACACATGAACTTAAAAATTTTAAACATCTTTAACATAGCTATCTACATGTGTAATTTACCCATTTGTCTTGAACAACTTCCAACCCAAGTTTTCTTCTTAATTTTTAATTTTTAATTTTTTAAGTTCAAAATTTTTAGGTTAGTAGTTAAATAATGTTTACGCTAGAAACAAAATCAATAATATTAGTTAATACACATATTTACGAACATGAGAGCAGTAAATGATATCTACTGTTTTTTTGAGTTGAAAGTTGTCTCTATGCTTCTAATTTGTTTTACTTAAAAGGAAAAGAAAAATTAATACACCTATTTGCTAACTTTCAATTATTTTAAATATTCAAATACTCCATGGCTAATATAGAGTTCAAAAGCATATAAAAATATGCTTTATTTATTTTATGAAGTCTAATTTACCTATTTGCTTTAATTTAAATAACGAAAAGAGTAAGGAAAAAAAAAACATGTAAAGAACTAAGAAAAGTAGTGGGCTACTTTGATTTTCAGCTGGATGGTGACTGCAACATTTCCAACTCTCCTCTCTTTACGCCAAAAGAAAAACTCGAGTAAAGTGAAAGATATTGCAGAGAAAAGAAATTAGGAAAAAGGAGAAAAAGCGACTCCTGTAATGTAAATTGTAAGCACATCTATAGCTTCCATGAAACTGCTACCAAAAAGGAACAGAAAGTGCAGAAAAAACAATATATTCATATGTATCAAACGATTCTGATTGTTCCCTTAAATATCAGACCTGTTTGGACATCATCTATTCTCTCGTTTTGGAAGAAAAGCACATATTCTCTTTTTTTTTCCTACGGACATTTTATCGCTTCAATTAGGGTAAGTTTGAAATGACTTTTGGATGGGCGTCAACATGTTTTCTTTAGAAATTATATTTGATTCCTCTTATATGTACTTTTTCACCTTCTCTAAAAATAAATTTGAATCTATTTTTTTATTTGGCTCATATTTTAGAACATACATGATGAGATAAGAAATACGAAGTGAAAGTAGTGTTTCTAAGCTTAATTTTTTTAAATAAAAATAAAAAATAAAATGGTTATCAAAACACAATCTTAATTAGTATATATATATATATATTGTCTTTGTTTTTAAAATGGACTATTAACACATACCGCGCTTGTTATTTAATTTTACAAGATTCATGAAATTTAAGTTAAAATTTGAAATATTTTTAAAATTACACTAGGAATTAAAATGTGTGGTTAATAAACACGTGTCAAAAAATGATGGGAGAGCAATATAATTTTAAAAGCCAAAAATACAAAACGAAATAGTTGTAAAATGGGGCATAAAATAACCTATCTAATAGTATAGTATTAAAAATTCATCGACATGTCGACATTTTTATGTATCAATAGATTCGACATTTGTATGTAAAAGATAAATCTTCATGATATTAAAAAAATCAACAAAATATAAAAATAAAATATCAACAAAATATGATATAATATTAATATTAATATTTTTTTATGAAAGACTTATTTGTTAATTTAAATATATTTTTTTATGATTTTTTATAATTTTTTTAGAAATATCTATTGACATCGACATTTTATTGATATTTTCACCGATATTTCCATAAAATTATACTTGGACATTAAATTTTTGTCTAACGGTAAGATATAAGTTTTTTTAATAATTATTTTAGTTCAATAGGGTTTGAATTTAAACTACTCATCTTTTTTTGTCCATATATATATCTTAATTATTAAACTTTATACCAATGAGATCTAAGTTATTAAAGGACACATTAAGAGTATAATCATTGAGTGTAATCATGTGACAAAATGGATCATAATCTTGATAAATACTTTTGTCAGACTCGCAGTCGTCGCAGCCAACAGCTAACTCTAGGCTGCCAAAATTTGCTTTAGAATTTTTAGCTTTCTTTTTAATCAAATTATACTTCAGCTTGCAGAGAGACAAAGAACAGAGAGAGAAAAATAATGGCTTCAGGTTCCCACTGCTCCCTACTTCTCAGCCTAATTTTTTCTGTACTGTGTTCAACGGTTTACTCGACCCCTTGCAATTCTTATGGCCAAGATCACGAGTACTGTAATAACTCTCTAATTACCAAAATTGGGAGGGACAACAAAATTGAAGATACGGCGGAAGCCGCGGCCGCGCACCAGGCAAACTCCACCTCCGGCCTCCACAGCCCAGATACGAAAGTAACATCATCAACTCCAAAAATATGGAAGAGCCAGACCAGCTTGCCTTACACCACTCTCTTAAGACACGTAAGAAAACTATTTTGAATTGTGCGCCGTGTATATGCAATGCAGCTAAAATAATGATACTGAAGATTTTTGGGAGATGTTGGCACAAACAGGTTCATGGAGTTCTGAATATTATAGGATGGGGAACTTTGATGCCCAGTGGGATTATGATCGCCAGATACTTGAGAGAATTCCCCATAAGCTGCGAGCGATGGTATTCGGCTCACGCTGTGTGCCAAACTGCTGGGTATATCATGGGCATCGTCGGATGGGGCTTCGGAATCTCCGCCGCTAACTCCTCCGAACGCAGCTCTCGCCTACCATTCTTAGCCCTCGGCATTACCATCATCGTCCTTGCAACCATTCAGGTAAGTTTCTCTGCAAATTTAAGTTTTGTGATCTCTAAATAAATTTTAGACCTTTTCCCTTCTGTTTTAAGCATAATTTTTAAATATAAAAAGTTAAAAATGAAATGCTTATTAAATGGTATGACGTAGATTTTAAATTTTAATTTTGTGTGTAATAAAATCTTGTCGAATTTAACAATTAATGACCATGTTAACCCATCAAATAATTTTCAGAATCCCTTTTGGACTCTGATACCATATCAGATTTTATTTCAAGAACAATCGACAATGAGAAAAATGATTGATAACTTCTCAACGTGGAATCCGTAACAGTTATTCATTATTATAAGTTAGTACGGTCTCTTTAGATATTTTTGAACTTTCAACTTTGTGTTTTGAATTAAATTTTGTGTATAATATGTATTTGATGTTTGAATTTTGTATCTAGTAAATCAAAATTTTTATCAGAATATGGAGTCGTAAAAGTTGATGGATGTTTTGAAGGACACGAGGATAAGTTAAAGAAATCCAAATTAAATGTGTGTAACTCAACCAAAGTTTGATGTTTCAATTTTGTGCAGCTGCTTGCTATATGTGTACAGCCGAAGAAGGAGAGCGGGTGGCGGCGGAGGTGGGAAATGTACCACCATGTTATGGGATACGTGATAATGGGACTGATAATAGGCGACATATTCGAAGGTATTAATACGCAGCGCCACCCAGAGAAATGGCGGTGGACTTACGTGGGAATTGTTTCTTTTCTTGCACTTGTGGCTGCGGCTTTGGAGATTCACAAACGAATCAAGCTTAAACTCTTCAAACAGGCTATGAAACTCAATGCCAATATGCATTCTCCCACTACTTGATCATTTTATCACCATTCTATTTCTGCCACCCATTTCCCTTTTCATTGCCTTTCCCTGTAATTTTTATTCTCTACTGTCAGATCTGATTTATTTCTTGGTCATTTTTTAGTACTTCAATAATTCATGGTTAATCAATTTGCTCCAAATTATTTCCATTCTTGTGGAAATTGCTTTTCTCTTTTTTTATCATGGGTAAAAATTTTAGGTTTCTAAAGTATATCTCTCATATTTACCCTACTTAAATGTTTGATAATCAGTCAACACGAGTTTAGGTCAACTGTAATTGACACACTAATATGAATTTGAATCCTCCACGCCACTAAGTATACTAAAAAACTCAAGAGAAAAAGAAAGTAAAAATATAAAACTTTTATAAAACTAATTAGCACCTCTTTCAATAGTAGTAAAGATCTTTTATTATTATTTTTTAGAACGATAGTAAATATGGAGATAAGTGAGGAGTGAGGTCTTGCACCGTCGGGTGTTGGCACCCAAGATCTAGGTTCAAGCACTCTTGTGTTCAGAAATTAAAAAAAATAAAAAGTGAGGAGTGAGGTTCTAAATATTTTTCAAGAGAGTTTTTTTTTCCCTTTCTTTCTTCTAGACAGAGTCATATTAAAGTTTAAATTATTTTTTATTTAATTTAAAAAGAATTAATGAAAAATGAAAAATATGCAAACTGCGGTTCTTGAGTTATGGGGAAGGGATGTCTTGATGGCGTGACGACGTCGTTTGGGCTACTGGGCGTTGGCTTATTGTCTTGTCTCTGGATTGCTTAACTGGAACGCCGAAAGCTCACGTTCCGTTTTGTACTCTCGGAGCAAAGAAAGAACAATCTGGAGCAGGAGCAGGAGCAGGGAGATTCTGGTGCAGAGATGGCCTCCTCTGCCGCTATAGACGGCACTGCATCCGCGGCTCTCAGGTCCGTGCTTCAGCGCGTACGGCTAGCCGCCGAACGTTCCGGTCGCGGCTCCCAGCAGATCCGAGTCGTAGCTGTTAGCAAGACCAAGCCGGTTTCCGTCATTCGTGAAGTTTACGATGCTGGCCACCGATGCTTTGGCGAGAACTACGTTCAGGAGCTCGTTGAGAAAGCTCCTCAGGTTTTTTCTTCTTCAATTTCGCGCCGAATCCATATTTAGATATTGAATTGAAGTCTTTTTCGATTCTGATATACTTATGTTCTTGTAATTCTGTTGCTATGAGAACTATGGAATTTTCGGAAGAGTTAATTGTCAGTGATTCGGACTGGAGTTACTTAACTTTGATGATCATTGGAAATTTCAGCTTCCGGAGGATATCGAATGGCATTTCATCGGGAATTTGCAGAGCAACAAAGTGAAACCACTTCTGAGTACGATCTAATCTATTTTCTAGAAAGTGTTTTTATTGCAGTCTGAAGGCATTTTTTGGAAACTTGTTTGCATAAGTTTTCATAGGTCACAAATATTTGATTCGACTTACTCTGTAATCTCAGAATAATATTACGTAGTACTTATATCAGTAAAACAGTACAGCCATTCTATTTATAGAACACTCACTACACTCAGCTGAGGCTAATCAATTACACGACAGCCAAATAACAAACGCAGCCAAACTAATGCTGGGCTGAAAAAATGAGGTCAGTAGTAAGCTAGAACAATTTGTACCAAGTCAAAGCCTCAAGAACAATAATCACGTAAAAAGGGAAAAACATCTTTCTTCCCTCCCCAAAGATCCTACATGTTATAAAAAAGCTTCGATGAATTTGGGCCACAAGACTATAGCTTCAGCTTGAACGGGATCCTCCATGTCTATTTAGTCTATTTTCATTCCCAATACATTCTATGTCTTTGTTATTCACCATAATTTCTCCAGTAGAGCACTCACAATCTCGTTATCAGAGATTCATTCCTGCTATAATTAGCTATTCAATTGAAGAATTTTATGTACTCATCCTCTTACTAAAGCCACTTAGACTTGCACTTTTGACTCCAAAAAGTTTCTTGTTTAAGAGTGACGTATGGAATTGATACTAGAAGCTTCTAAGAAATTTCTCATTATTTGAGAGAGGAAAGGAGTCTTCTAAGTCATCTAAAGATTTACTCTCAGTAATGATGCTGGTTTGGTGGACTGAATGTTGCCGAACTCTTTATTCCATTTCTTTAGGAAAGCCTTGAGAGATTTAAGCTTGGTCGTGAAACCATGTACCAGTCAACTTTGCAGATGGACTTCATTTCACTTAGGTTCCAATGGGTGAAGAAAGTTATTATGATCAAGTAACATATTTTAAACTTTAGAAGGGAGGACTCCATTTAAAATTAGCAGCCTCAAGCCTCTTCAGTCTAGATACCCTGGGGTTCTTAAACTTAGAGATGATCAAATCTTAAGAAGCTAAGAACCTGTCAGTAAGTGATGTGGGCATAAGGGTTGAATTTGTAATTATTTTGATTTTATTTTGTAATAGTAACAACTACAAGTTTAACTACGTCTACATCAGTAAGAGAAAGGACAGCACGTTCCGTCGTATTTGACTAAGTAAATTTGGCATAACTAAGATGTAAATCTGGGAGAGGAAGATCACTGATGAGCTTGTTGATAAGATTCATACTTCGTGTCAATCTTGAAACCACCAAGATACTCAAGTTCCCTCCAATGTTGTCCTTTGGCTGGTAGGACTTAAGTCTGTAAGTCCCCTTAAACCAGAAAAGAGTGTTATTTGCCTAAATGATTTTTACTGTGAGAGAGAAAGAACCTCCAACATCTTCCTCTAAGGGATCAAACAGAAACTTTTAAAATATTATAGAAGAAATTAAAAATGATATAAACTTGAAGGACAAATGGTATATTTAGTTTTTTGTTTTCCCTCAGAGGGGGCAGAAACAGCATAAAGGTCTCATTGGAATGCTAGGATAGAATTAGGGATATTACTAGGGTATTAAGGATAAATTAGTGGTTAGTCAAGGAATCCATTAGAAGGATTTGTAATAAATAGAGTCAGTGAGACAAGATTAAGGTAGGCATTGATTTGTTATAAATAGGCTTGAATGGCATTCCAAGAAGGGGAGGTACCAAGTATCTCAAATACTTGGGAGTTTATATTGTAGTTCTATCTTCATATTTCAATACTATTCTAGTTCTTTTAGGCTCTATAAGGTCATTGCTTCTCAGCCCCTTAACATGAATTGCTGTCCCTGAGTTCAGATACTAGTTGCTGTCTGTAGAGTTTATTGGAAGCTACTATAGCAGACATTGTTGGAGAGGTGTTCTCATAGCCATGATTATTATTTCACATATTGAGGTCCTGGATTTTTGTTGAAAACTTAATTTTGATAAGAACAGAACTAACATTTGGTCACAGAACACCAGACTTTCCATATGACTAGTAGTGAGGCTTATTGCACCATTCCAAGATCGACCACTTCATGAGTTTCTATCCCTTCCTCTGTTACTCTTAAAGAAATCATTTCCTTGATTTTCAAGCTTCTGTCAAGCATTTCCATTAGTTTCCACCATTGCTATTTACTTGCTTCTGTTGAGCTTGAAAGGTCGGACTTGCTGTAGGTAAAGTGCAGTTTGACCAAGTTTCTCTCAATTCTAGCCTCTTGTGGTAGTAATAAAGGACTAAATTTTGTATGGGTTATTCTTATTTCAAGACAACCAAATCATACTCAGAATAAGTCAGATAGCACATACATCACCTGTCAGTATTTGAGACCTTGTAACCTTAAAAAGGCTAAGATATCAGCCTAGGTCTTCATCTTGCTTAAGTACTTTATATCGATTCCCCCTTTCTTCAGGTTCTGCATTATGTATGTTTTCCATATTTCTCACAAGGATTTGGTCAAGTGTGACCTGTAGCTCTCTTGCAAATTGACAATATATCAGTTCCGTTGTTAGAGGCTTGGTTCGAAAGTCGAGAGGAGAGAAGCTTATCTTCTTTTCCTATCTATGACACAAACTCTAGATTCAGTCATCTTCTCAGAACATGGATAAACACCGACATTGCCGTTTGCCAGCAGCAATATATTTTACCTGGAGGATTGTTTTTCCAATCAATGTAACCTGATCTGAAGTCATGAATCACCGAGAGTGTCTACTGTCTGGCATTTCTGTTGTAGGTGAAAAAACCGAGGAGGCCATACCCTCACTTTCCTATTGCACCCAAAATTGTACCTAATTGTTCTGTTAACTATACAAACTCAACTTTGTAATTCAGGAGGAATATTACTATTCTATTCATATCAGCAATAGTACAGCGATCTTAGAGCACTCAATACACTCAACTAAGGCTAACTAAATATATTAACAGACCGACATGAAGAATGTGATGTTTAGCTTTGGTTATTCTCTTACCTTAAAAAGAAACACATAGGATAATGAGTTGGTTAATCAGACTATAAATTTCTGTATCGGGGCATTTCATCTAAGCAGATGCTTTTAAGACTTCTTCAATTGCTTCTTTTCATCTGCTTTTATTCCTTCATTTCTAACTGTTACTTTTGCGACACCATACAGCTAGCGTCCCAAACCTTGCAATTGTTGAGAGCGTGGATGATGAGAAGGTGCTCTTCTTATTACTTATCTCGAATGCCTTGATATGAAGATGATTATCACCTCAAATTAAAATGAGAGTTTTTAAAATTACTTTCCAGTATTTTATTTTATTAGATTTTGATTGTGCCGTAATTAATTATCTTTTATCGGATTGAGTTGAATTGGTTATAGGATATAGCATGCTGTATAAACACTTTTTTGATGTGTTGAGTGGAGACTGAACATGGCGATTCTGTTTTACAAACTGAAGTAACTAACATGGGGACAAATCTCGAGAATGCTGTGTCTGTGTGAATGATCATTTTCCATAAATTTTTTGGATTCAGGCATGCTGCTTTTGGATCATGCCTAGCATTGCCTCTTTTATTGTATTCTTTTTTCTAAGGCTTTTTTATCGTATTCAAATGATTCTCTTTGTTATTTAATGCTGTACGTTATAACTTCCTTTTTAATGTGCTTAAACTCTTTTGCCAGATTGCAAACCGTTTGGATAATGTGGTTGCAAGTATTGGGAGGAAGCCTCTTAAGGTGTTTGTCCAAGTGAATACAAGTGGGGAAGAATGTATGTTATTACTTGCAACAACTATAAGTTTCTGTTTCTTAAATTATGGTCACCATCCGAAGTGCAGTTTAATGATTTCATCTTTAAAAATTTGATTTGCAAGAATCTGGTTGGTCCAAAATTTTTGGCCGTTGAAGTACAAAATGCTAAAATTTGTCCATTTTTTCATACCTTAAATCATATGGTTGAAAATTTTTCATCTGCTAATAACCTGTTAGCATGATTTTGGAGACATTTTCTAAAGTTAGATTGTTGAGGTGCATGATTAAGAAGGTGACGGCTGATGTTATCTATCAGTACGCTAAGTAACTCAATTACGTCAGGTTTTAACATAATCATGGAATGTTGCAATGCACATGTTATTTGTATTGTATTCAACTGATTTTAATCGTTCATTTGTTAAACCTTCGAATAACGTTTATCTTGTATTAAAGTGCAGCAAAATCAGGCGTTGAGCCCTCTGAGTGTGTGGAGCTTGCTAAACACGTTAGTTTGAACTGCCCAAATCTTCAGTTTTGTGGGCTAATGACAATTGGAATGTTAGATTATACATCAACACCAGAAAACTTCAAGGTGATAAAACCATTCCTCTTTTATGAGAAACTTTGCGTGCACCTTGCGCTCTTACCAATTGGTATTTGTTGGTTTTACAGTCGTTGGCCAACTGTAGAACTGAGGTTTGCAAGGCACTTGGAATATCAGAAGAGCAATGTGAGCTATCAATGGGCATGTCAGCGGACTTCGAGCAAGCTGTAAGAATGATTATCATTATAATATGGTACCGTTTAATGGGATATATATAAATTTGGTCTAATGCATTGCTTATTTATCCTCTCAAAAACATCGTACTAATAAAAAAAGAAAAAAAAACTTGAGAGAGTTTGTTGACGCTCTTCTACCAATTTGGCCAAGCGTTTCGCATTTCTTTAGACACAGAAGAATAGAATTTGTAGAAAACGAACGATCACACAGTTAAACTCATATTTCTGCATTTTTGGCAGGTTCAAATGGGAAGTACAAATGTGAGGGTCGGATCTACCATATTTGGGGCGAGGGAATATCCCAAGAAAAACTGAATCTTGCTTACTGGAAGATTTATGAGCTTCTCGTGGTTACCATTTTGATGAGATAATCGTTGTCCAATACTTGCCTGTCTTTGAATAAAATCTCACTAAATAAAGGATCCAACTCCAATAATTATTAGTTTTCATAACACTGTAAAGCGAGGGCTGTATGTTCAGGTCGACACATTTCTATGCCATCTGATTACACCATACGTTTATGATTTGGCCAAACTGTAAACGTTTTTTAATGATCTCAAATAATTATTTGAATACTTGATCTGTAAATTTTAAAACTTTTTTTTATTCTTCAGATTTAAAAAATGCTTCAAAATGAAATATCATGGGTTGGTTCATTGGTTTAAAGGGGATCAAGGTAAATAAGATTAGACTACCTTGTCAACATTTTATTAGACTACCTTCATTAATTTTACAATATGCATTTTTATCAGAGTATAATTTGTTTTGATAAATTATTTTAGCGATAAATGTTTAAAAAATGGGATGTGATTTAAAAATTGCTTTTAGTTTAAAAAATTATTCCATTGACGGACCAAATAAATTGACCCATCAACGTCAATCCTATCATGTTGTGACTTGTGAGTTGCGACAGCCTATAGCCAAACAAATCCAAACTTTTTAGATCGACCTTTTTCCATGTTCTTTTTCTTGATAAAGCTTGGTGACCTACATGGCTTTGGACCATTGAATGAGAACCTCCACATAAAAGCCATGGTACAAGAAAAAAAAATCGAAAAAATGTTCCCAATTCAAAGAAAAAGAAACTTTACTTCGTGAATGTACGCACCTGAAATACAAAACAACTAATGGACCAATATCACCACCTCCCGTTTAAATCCCTCTACCCCAAGTTGAACTAAAAGAAAATAAAAGGTTGGATTAATATGATTTTTTTTCTTGATACAACAGTAATTTCAGCAAATAACCCACTAAATAAAATTGCGTGTCCAAGTTTGGATAGTATGGACAATTCAATCTTTCAGCATATCTTCTGGGCAGTTCCTCGGAAGCCTTCTAAACTGATTGTCAATGTAGAAACACCATGAACAAACTAAGTGACTTCCTTCAATGAACCGTTTTCTCAACTTAAGATACAAATGATGAATACCACCAACAACGCGGACTTAGATGGAAAAGAAAGATAAATACTGTGAAATGTGATTGAACCATCCAGCCTGATTTTCTTTTGAAAACCAATAGTATCTGATAAACTAACGCACACCTTAACTCATTTCAAGAGGTACTCACCCTCCAACATTTATAGTTAGAAAAAGTATGAAATATTTAACATTTTAACCAAGTGGCTATCATGATGAATGATAGTTGAAGTTGGTTGATCTAAATATCTAATGATGCTGAGGCATCAAAGTGACTGACAACTCCCTGGCTTAATAATCGCATAGCAGCTCCCTGAGAAAATTTTCTGGCAAACAGAAAACAAGGAACAGAAGTTGAATTATTTCGACACCATTCCGTCCTGAACTCAGTCTCATAGTAGACATGGTTGATTCCCTGTCAAAACAATACACGTCAAACAACAGAGTAGACGGTAGACAACCTACAAATTCAACAAATGAATCCCAGATAGATCAATCATGCCACGGATTTACCAAAACATGGTTGGTATTGGAATATAGAATAGACACAATTCTAATAACATCATTATTAAGCCAAGCGATTCAGCAATCAATGTAGAAAACAAAAACTAAAGCATTTAATTTTGTTAGAAACCAAATCTATTCACCCGTCCTACCAACTCTTCAAAAAACAAAAACAAAAAGAGAAATATTGCAGTGTTAATGACCTTTATTTCCTTAATTTGCCGAGGTCCAGCATTAGCATAATTAAACGTAATAGGATGCCAACCCTTGTTCTCCATTTTGGTGGTTGACTGATTCCATAGCGTGTAAGTTAATGTTCTTCGTTCAAGTTCACCTTCAAGTTCATGTAACTACACAAGAAAAGTATGTTACGATGAAAATTATTTGTGAAACTTAAACTATTCCAGACACCAGTTCAACAATCACTGGAAAGGGATACAAACTCGTCATTCTGGATACAAAAAAAGAAAAAAAAAACAGAGAGGGAGGGAGGAATCGATGAAGAAGAAAGAAACAACATGGCCTCGGAAGACGATCTATACTCACAGAAAGTAATGTCTGGACATAGTGTTCATCTGGAATACAGTTGTGCTGCTTTTGAAGTTTCTACAATCAGAATTTAGGCCACGTTATTGGTATCCGTAGCCACAGTAAACAAAACAATCTTAGTAGGTCATATCCAGAATAACAAATAAATTATTTCTAAATAACATGCACATAATTTGCACTCAGGATTGAATTTCTCAACATACACAAATGATAACTTACAATGTTCATATTTCCTTTGCTGGCATCCACAGGTGGCCTTCGCTGTAGTTAAGAAAAATTGTAGATTTTATAATGCAATACCAAAAGGGTGAACTTTTTGCTTCATAAAAATCTCAAAAATGTGTCTAGGGGGAGGGTTTTTGAGCTATACGCCATTCAATTTAAAGATATACCTGGGGAAAACATGATCAACATATTTAGTTTATGTATGTATGAATGATAGAATCTTCACAGCAGAAATAAATAACTGCACTGGAATCATGGTTGACAAACAAAGAATAAATTTTCTGGATAAAACTAACCTTGCAGAATGACCCAAAGATTGGGAATATAACATCATCATCCACAACTACTTCTGCATGACTACGAATCAAACTGATCCACTGCAATTTAAACACAAAGCAAAATAATGGCATTCATCACGATTGTTTAGAATCCAACTAACAGACATCTGCACCACGAGAGTGGAAACTGTATTGCATAGTAGATCATGAATGCTAAGATTGAGTGAAGTTTATCGAAGCAGTAATTTCTCAAATATTATCTCGAACAATAAATGGGACATACTTATTTCCTTTGGATGGTTGGAAGGCCAAGACAAATACGAATGAAAATAATAACTACAGAAACACAAAACAAGGATAAAAAAAACCCCCAATCTCATAGTTACATGAATCTACATAACTAGGCAAAAAATCCCAAAAACCAAAAAAACAAAACAAAACAAAAAAAAAAATGCAAGCAAATACTGATAAGAATTATGAGGGATGACCTGGGACCCTTTTCTCCACTTGCTCTTAGGTATAGTAGGTGACATGTTTGGGTTATAGCGACCCTCCTTTGCATCAAGAAAACTACAAGAAAAAATGAGTATATTTTCGATCAGCATATATAGAACTTCAAGAGCCACCGTGAAAGCTATAAAATTTTGGCACCAAATGATCAATAAAGAATCTGTGCTTGGCACCTCAGAGTCAAAGCCCTCCATCTACCTGTCCACGAAACTCCTTGGAGAAGCCATGAGATAGCTGTATATGTAGCTAAAATTGTATAGCGGAACACAACTGCAGCATCAGGAGACAAATCTTAAGGGAAGTTGTTAAACACCTCAACTTCATAGATCAAACTGTTTAGAGAGCAATGGAATGTGGCAATGGTGATCATAAAACACCTGTCAGATAGAAGAACAAATCTCTGGTTTGCTGGATCCTCAAGCGCTGCTTCAAATAACAACCTCTCTGCAGCAATCATACTTGACTTTCCCCATTCCACCTGCAACATAATAACACTTTATTGAAATTAATTTCCAAAAACCACCTAAGCGCTGTTTGCTCCACATTGGCACTGCCCAACAACAACCAACAGAAATGCTAAATGAAAAATGACAGAGACTAAAGGATGCCTACATAGGAGAAAAACTAAGCACTAATGTGGTGAATTGAATAACAGGAAAATATTGCAAACCTCGACACAAATTGACCCCCTCTATTTGAAAATGAAGAGTACCTGATAATTCAATTCCATCATAATTATAGTACATATGAAGATTGATTAATAGGACATTGTCATCCTTTGACTTCCTAGGGGTGAAGTATTTACAGAGGTTGTTCTCTAACCTTGATTGAGGGTATACTTGTAACTTTTTTGAGCACCGAGCCTATTACCACATTGCAGAATAGCCTGCTATGCTCCTCAATTTAGTATATACAAAGGAGACACCACATTTTAAGATGAGCTCATGCCTTATCAGGTCTCTAAAGTTAATTTTCTTTTGTTCTTTCAGGAATGCACACCTATCAAGTCTCATATCATTCCACACTTTAGTGTGCTCATCCTATCTTCCCATCAAGCATGAGCACCTACCTTATCAGACTAGGTGTGCTCATTCTGATGTGCTAAGTTGTGTGGGTCAGGAAGGATAGTCATGATTGCTCTACATTGTATTATTGGTAGGTGACATGTAGGCTCAAGCTTGTAATTTCTCCAAAACTTTAACCAATAACAATGACCTCCGTTCCACAGTTGTGTTAATGAGACCTTTACTATGCTATGCAAGATCTCATTACCAATTTGACAATGCTATTGAGTGAATTAGTTGCAGTTCATATCAAGTGCAGGTACTATTGGGGTTTCCTCCTTCCAGCATTGAGACAACTAGTTCCAGACATTAATTTTTAAGGAGGGAAACTTGTCATCACTGGAGATTTTCAACTAGTAGTATGCTATATTTGCAGTCAACCTAAATAATTGATAAATCGAGATACATTAGCAGCTAGAAGAGTGTAGACAAAGAAAACAATGAGCTGCCCAATCAATGATTCCCCAATCAGCTAAGCTTAACTCGTATAAAAGATTAAATTAATTGAAGAGTTCGTCCTCATACTTCTAAAAAACTCCACGTAAACACACACATACAAACAAACAAAAGGTAAAGAACAACTGAACAAGCATCTATTTACACCCCCAGATGCAATGGAAAAATATAAAAATTTCATCATATCGGAGATTCGGAACATGCGTCATGTTACCTGTATGCTATTCCTCAATTGCCGTCCAAAAAAGAAATGCGACCTTGTTGTCGATTCATCGAATACAAATCCCGGTGCGGAGTGAACATAAATCGAGAAGCTCGCAACGTCGCCATTCTGGAACAGAAATTGAAAGTCATTTTCCTAATCGAAGACACATTTTGGGAGAGTAGAAACTTAAAAACACCTGTAAGAAGCTTCCCCAGAGAAAATCAAGCGGGAGGTTTCGACGAGTGAGAAACAAGAAGGCAATCTTAGGGGGGCCGGAAAAGGAATGAGGGGGAGGACGCAATCGACGAGATAATGAGGCAGAGGGGAGGTCAAGCCGGGAATACGATTGAAGCCTGAGAAGAGCGAGGATGCAAAGTGCAACAGAGAAGGTGATCACTAGCTTCCAGGTGAACCAGATAACGCTTGATATTACAGGAGCTTTCTTCTTCATCGTTCTTCCTGGAAATTGAGCGCAAGAACTTCATGCAGCGAATCTGAAAGAAACCAGAGCAAAAGAAAAGAAAGCAGAGAGAGAGAGAGAAAACAGTACATGGAAGAAGTGGCGGTTTTGCCGGAGAGAGAATTAATAAAGAAAAACGCATCAGAGAACGGATGACGGTGGCGAAGTCGAAGTGTGGACGGACCGCGGCGTATTTTGGAAGTCTTCTCAATCCTCAAGATTCCCATGAAGAACAACTGTAATACGACGTCGTGGGGTTGGATAATATGGTCTCAGTTTGTTGAATGGGCCATCTGATTCTGGGCTTCACTCTGGCAGATGGCGGGAAGGGCGTATCTCCCAGGCCTTGTGGGCCCTTCAATAATGCTCAACAGAATTTGTTGCATCTTCAATCACATGGTACTAATTTTCAAAAATGGTTTTCAAACTATGAAGAAACAAAATTTTTATTTTCCTTCTAAAAATTTCAAAACAAAAATGGTGTCCACTCAACTTAAGACATATATTTCGACCAGAAAATGTATTCGAAAATTTGAGAATTTGAATTACAATAATGAGAAATCAGCAAAGATGGAGAAACTTCTAACAAATATATGTTGTCCTAGCTCCATTCCGTTGACCAATATATTTAATTCAAGAATTTTATTTGAATATATTAAATGAAATGAAGTGATATACGCCACCCTTTTTTTTTTCCAAGAGAGCACAATTATCTTTTTCCCCTGCTCCAAATCACTCTAGAATGAAAATTTTCAGTAGGTTGTGGTATTAAGTCAACATATATTACTTTTTAACTCAAAGGTAACAAATTTTATCGTATCGAATAAATTGAAAGAAAGTTATTTTCAGCAATTTAAATGGTCATAAGCATCTTTATTACAATGAATGACAGACGAGATGACAGATTGTTGTATCAACGAATTGCCCCTCAACAAACTGTAGAAAGAACTGATGAAACAGCTACGATGCCAATACTGGCCCTCAAGAGCCGTTGCCACAATGTCTTGAATAGCTGCAAATTTCCTGTCTTGATGATAAACTTGTAGTACCTAGATTTCTTCCTTTTCCATTCGTTAAGATGAATCATTCTGTTCAATGCACTTATAATCACAACAGGCTTGTATTACAATCTGTCGTACACATCTGTCGGTGTATATCGTCTGGAAGATACTTCTGTCACTACAGCAAGTTGTTCTACAGTATCAGAAAGCAACTTTGGTGCTTTGACGATCCAATATAACATTTAAGATCTTGCCGGGGACGAAGATTCGCTTTTTTATAGACTGCCCTTGTAAATATTTGGAGAGTTTCTCGTCCTGTTGTGCTAGTTGGAAAGCATCCTCCTCTGTACATGTTTCTTCAACCTGTATGGTACCCCTAGTTTTACCATTGATCTGAACAGGTAGGACAATTGTGGATTCCTTCAAATAAGTTGGATTGGCCTGTAATTGAGAAGAAAATAGAGATCCATCAGTTATATTTTTCCATGAAATTATGAACTTTCTGATCGTCCAATTTGAACATGTAAAAGTAGATGTGCCTGAAGAATTCACTTCCATTATCTCCAAAATGTTGTTACAGACACCACTTCATCAGCCTCAAACAACATATTTCTTGAACACAAACTAAGCTTTCTCAAGTCGTCAGCTTCCAATGCGTGCAATCACTTTGAAGCACTATTTCCCCTATTTGAGGGCGAATTATATTTCAATTTTAAATTTGATTTATATTGGAAGTAAAAGTGAAGGAACCAATTAAATCCCGATATCTTAATTTGGTTTCAAAATTTAACGCAACTCTCTACTGTTTTTTCTACTATTCAAGAAATAGGCAATCTAGATTCTGGTAGTGAGGTATTTCCTATTTCCCAACAAGGACATCATCCAATACCACGTTGAGGAATCATCAACAGTTATCCACGAACTGACAGAGACATGGAAGTTATTTTCTTTCTACCATTTTCAAAAGATTATTTCCTCTAGTAGAAACAATCCTTGACATACCAGCTAGACCAACTGAAACTGTCTTTCTGTAGATCCTACTTCTGAACTGTTATTAACCTAACCCACTAAAAAAAACAATATGAAGTTTACTCCACAGATTCACTAAGTTGCAGAATTACATTCAACATCAATAGAGTTCATCACAAGGACATAATATCAACTCCACAGCTAATATACCCGTTCCATGCCTTGTAAATGCAAGAAGGTATCAGATAACCATGAAGCCTATAATATTATTGAATAGACATAATATCACAGTAATTTAGGGAGGGAAGGGGGCTAAGAAGTCCACACCTTAGGAAACAGCTCATAGGCCAATGATTCTGAGTGCCCTAAGCGAGACCAAAGTTCCTCAGCCATGTGAGGTGCATACGGTGAAAGCAACAAAATGAATTCTTCAATAATAGACTTTGGGTATCTATCCCACTGAAAATACGAAAATGATAAGAGACAGAAAAGAATAAAATGAGATTAGTTAGCTAAAAAATGACACCGGGCAGATTGGAAGAAATTTGATATGGGAAGAAATATTGTGGATAAGAACACACTCTTAAGAGTTAAGACATTGACATCCAAATATAATATATTTGTTGAAATGGGAAGAAAACAAAAGATATCGAGCCTTTTAGTCTCACTACTTCATTATTTAATCAGAATGTTAAAAGTGATCATCGTAGTTTTTCGAGAGTTATTTATGTTTCATACTTCTCTTTCCTTTTCTTATATATAGTATTTAGCCAACTTGCATGCATCTTGACTAATTCAAGTTTAAGATAAAAAGAACCAATTTTATTGGATGATACAGTAAAATTGATGCCAAGTCAAAACCAGTTTCATACTATATGATAAAGTCAACTTGATTGCGTTCAGGTTTAAGAAATAAATGAAAAACAAAAACCAGTTTTATTGGGGGGAAGGATCCACCAAAAAAAAAATTGTAGATGCCAAGTCAAAGCCTAATATACTATCAAATTATCAAATTATCAATAGGCTGACTTTAAGTTTCATTAGTATGAAACAAAGACAACAGCATGCCCTTCAACCTAAATAGAATGAATTTCCGGCAAGGACAAAGGGATTAAGCAGAAGGTTAATATGAAGTAAATTAATGCACATTTTTTAGTAACCTTATATGCCACGTTAATGAACTCCATCATAGCCGAGATTCCTGTGTTGAACCGGGTCCCTTCAACTTCTTCTGTTACCTGGAAATTGAATCATCATTTAGTCAAGGAGGGATTGTATCAACAGAATACAACTTCAATATGAAATTTAAACAAGCTAATATAACCCGTCGAATGGGTTATTTTGCTGGAACCTGAACTTATTCATGCACACTCTAAAGGTGAACTTTAAAGCCAGGCCCCAGGGTGCATTATTATTTGGGTGACTCAACCTCGTGTCACAACTTTATGTTCCATTGTTATCTCTTAACTACAAGGATAAAGAGTAATTACTAGATTAAAAGGTATCCACTGCAACAAATTCCAAATTAATGCCAGACAAAAAGGATTTTGGTTATAGTTTTCCTCCGAGACGTGATTAAGCTAGCAAGTTGAACCATATGTCTATTTAGAAGGAAGAAGAAGGCCAGGGTGCATTATTATTTGGGTGACAACTTTTGTTGCTTTTTTTTTGTTTTAAGAATGCTATTACTCTTTTAGTCTTTTGTATCTAAATCTTTTTTAATGGTAGCCTCCTTATTTGTAAGGTGAACTTTAGGAAAGCTTTAAATCTTTTTCTGTTTCTTTTAATGTGCTATACTTAATGGTCCCAAACAACATATGGATTTAAATTTCTCCCACAGCTATGTGAATGAATTAAAAATAAAATAAAATCTCTAATTGTTAGCTTAACGTATGAAATAAAAATGCCCAGTCGGCCTTAGTGATCCGACGGTGCCGAGTGGAAGGGCTGTCGATTACTAAAATTGCCCATAACAGTAGGTGTATTTGGGAAATGCTACCATCTAACAAGCGGGAACATTTCAGCTTGGGTAACATGTCCCGATGTCAAATACTCCGACACTTATCAAACATGTATCAAATACTTGTTAGCTTAATTAGTGTGTGACACTAGTAGTACAAAGTGAACATGGATCCAACACTTATTGAACACTTGTTAAGTATTAGACAAAAATAGTAATATAGGACAAAATAATAAATTTTGAGAGCAAAATACATCAAATTCATTTGTTAAGTATAAAGAATAAATTATTTTTATTTTTATTTTTATTATTATTTTTTTTATAACCAGAAGTCGGAGCTTTGCTTCCCTATATCCGGAGGCACTCACGCTCGCCCCAAGACTTAGACCTAGGAGACGTCAAAGGTTTTTGGTATTAAGCTCACCACTCATCAGAAGGTTCGAATTTGAGACCTCTGAGCCAGTATGACCAATAGACCCCAAGGCCTTTCCAACTGGGCAACCTAGGCAAAAATGATACATATTTTTAAAAATTGTATATTTTAATAAACATGTCATTGCCATGTCGTGTCCTAGATTTTAGAAAATGACGTGTCACCGTGTCTGATTCTTATCTCGTGTACATATTCGTACGTCTTAGGCTCCCATTATTAAAGGACTAAATAAAGCTTTTAATAGTGAAAACTGAGAAATAATTAAAATAGCAGAAGGGATTTAATGGCACGTCTTCATAATTCATTATCACCAATGTGAATAGCACTTGAACGGAAAAAAGACAAAGACAAAGCTCAAATAAATATATGACCTTCATGATGCACTTATGGAGTGAACGAAGTTGCTCCAGAGTGGGTTCCTCATCAGTTGCTACAGTTCCAGCTTTAAATGTACCATCAGCTGAAGGCGATCCAACAATTAGTCTCCAAGTTCTTCCCAGGAACCTATGGACACCTTCAATACCACTGGTATTCCATGATTTTGAGTCTCTGGAAACAAAATGATACGAAGAGATAACTAAGTGAGAAAAATAACGTATGCCCCTTCATGACTGATCAAGGAAATATCAGTCACATCTCATATTAAAGATTGAATGGAAATGCTTGATATTTGAATTTTGAAGTTATATATCAGAACTACCTAAGAGGGCCCATAAACATTTCATACAAGCGAAGAGAATCTGCACCATACTCAGCAACAACATCATCAGGATTGACAACATTTCCTCGACTCTTGCTCATTTTGTGAGCACGAGCAATCAATCTGATATTAGGACTGTCTTTCAGTACAAAAAAATCTCCAGATTTCACAACCTGCATATGAAAAAATCAGTTGAGAAGACCTGGAAGTCACAGAAAACAACACTGTATTTTTCGATTCTGTTAGTTACTTCTGAAGAAACAAGATTTCATTAAAGTAATGAAACGTACAAAAAGGGAAGGAAATCCTTCCCACGGCTAAGGGGTTACAAAAAGCCTCTTCAATTAGGATATATCATTAAGGGAATAATTGCAAAAAATACAGTTACGCTTTGCACCAAGAAACAGCACTGTATATAAGAAGATCAAGGATATAAGTATAGTTACGATTAAGTACTTTAAACCAGCATAGTCTTTTTTTTTTCTTTTTTTTTTGCATGATAATCTGCCATTTAAATCAGGCATACAAGTCTGAAGATATGGAAATACGCAGGGCATAAAAATCATAAACCTTTTCCTCGGGAATTCTTTCTTGATGAAATTCACTGAAAATGTCAACGGAATCTGCAGACACTAGATTCCCATCTGGGTCTTTTAAAGCTGTATATTGAACCTGCCATTTAAAATAATTGCTACATTTGAAACCTGTGAAAAAAGAAAGTTAATTTTGATTATAGTAGCAATACTTACTTCCCCAAGTATAATTCCTTGGTTTATGACGCACTTGAAGGGTTCTTTGGTGGATACAACACCAATATCATAGAGAACCTGAATCAGAGAGGTTCAACCAGGTTAGTATAGCAGAAAATATAGGACACGGCATCCAGAACATAAATAGGTCGGTAGTTCAGCAATCATCTTGTCAAAACCAACAGTTATTTCATCATCATGCAGGCCCCTTTGGCAGTTTCAAGTGAAACTTTACCCTCCACCCTATCATGGTTTTGCAATGCTTCACAAATCATTACAACCAAGTGAGAGTCTAAAGCATAACTCATACAATTAATTACAACTATGGTAAAAGATAAAATAGTACAGAATGCCTTATAAGTTTCTTCATGAGGCAAGGAACTACCATGCTTACTGAAAATGTTGATTAACAATGAGGATGACCAGTCTTCTCCTAGAAGTCTAAAACCAAGAACTAGTGGCTCATAATTCTTGATGTGGAAAAAAAGATTAACAATTAGTTTTTTTTTTTTTTATCTCCGTGTCTCCGAGCCAGCTTGCAGACACTTCTACTAATCACGGGTCAACTGCCTAACCCTACTACATTTGATTGACAAGGTAACTCGTAGGATATTAATTATTAAATCCTAGGTAGGTGGTCACCAGGGTTTGAACCCATTCCCTCTAAACCCTTTGCTATTTACAATGACCCTTATTAACCACTATGCCATCCCATGACGGTTAAGATTAACAATTAGTTGTAATCTAGTTTGTTTCGTAACCATGCTTTTTAACATTTTCCAACTTTTAGTAATAATTCTTTGAAGCAGAAAACTTGTTTGACATCATAAAGTTAATAAGAATAGTTTTTAGAAGAAAAATAAGCAGATGACAGAACATTATTTTGCAATCTTCATGGGTTTGCTATTTCAAATTTAACTGTTCATATTATCATAAGTTGTTGTTTCATTTCAAGTATAACTTCATATAAATGTGTTATATTTTGTGATTAATATACTAAATGGAAAGATAATAAGAAAAAATAAAATCAAAGAATTTTAAAAATAAAATACAATCGATAACAAAAATTAGTCTGTAAAACAATTTTTAAAAACCAAACCTAAATAGCACCATAATCTTCCAAAACAAACTGTTTGTTTTTGCAAATTAACGAATATTTCAAAAAGTAGATAATAAAGTAAGGAAATCATTATTAAAAATTCATATTTATATAAATAAAATCAAAATTATTATCAAATGGGGATTTGGATTAACTCTCAAACCTTATGCCAGAACCTAGAATAAAGTAAGTGGAGAACAGCATGCTCAGCACCACCAACGTATACATCAACTGGGCTCCAATACCTGCATAAGCAAAAATAAAGAAGTTTTGAATATATGGATTGTACTTAATTCTATTAAAACATTAGTTCAGGAAAAAGGTATACAAAAATTCTATGCTTATCCATATGCAGCAGCTCTTACATTTCCTTCATTTTCCCAACAAGTTCTTTGGAATTCTTTGGATCCATAAATCTTAAGTAGTACCTGAAAATCAATAGAATGGAAGTATCTAATTCTATTAAGATACTTCTAAGATCTTTGACTAACTTGTGCATACAAAGAAGACTAATCGGAAATTTTAAAAAATGTAAACAAAAAAAGTTTGAATGGCAACACTAGTTAGACACTATGTTATCACCCCTCCCATAAATCTTTAGTCAAAATCAGCAGATCTATTTGTTCCAGCAAGAAAAGAACGAGTAGTAAGGTTTAATTCAGGAAAGAAGAAATAATGCTTATAAATCATAAACAACTCAAAGACGTGGAACAAAATACCAGCAGGAACCAGCCCACTGTGGCATAGTACTCGTTTCTCGTTTGGCAGGTTTTCCAGACAGGGAATCAGTGGCTTTAACCTGAAAATCAATTGTTTAAAGAATAATCAGCTTAATATAAAAGAAAAAAGTTGTATTTATAATGAAAAAGATAAAGCACATTATCTAGACTACATTTTCATTAACTTCCTAGTATTCTCCCATTATAGTTGACCCTCAATAAGTAGTAGTAGTACAAAGACTAATTACATATTGTTCCATAAACATGTTCACATGACCATAAAACTTCATCTGCCAATATATATGACTACAAAATTAGCTCCTGGCCAGTAAAGAAGAATAACTATTAACTACTCATGAAGGTTCATCTGCAGTTGTTCTTTCACTAGCATCATTTCACCATTATACGTTACACTGCTTTAAAAAAACCTGAGTAGAGCAACGACTCTAAAGTAACCAATCCAAATAGAATTTTTCTTCAAAAAAAAAAATCGGCATCCATGTAAAATTTAAGTGTTTGAAATTTTGTGCATTCACATATGAGTGGGGAAAAAATCTAAATAAATATTTCGTCTCTTCATAACTAGCACAGGTTATCATGAAAATCTAGAAAACCTAAGAATCCCCACACAATAGGAAATGAGACAATGCAACATTGCTAAGGCGATAAATTAATGAAAAGGATAGAGATAGATACCCAAGACTCTGCTTTTGAAAGTGGAGGTTCCCCTGTCCCCGTGGGTGTAAAATCATCTAATTCAGGTAATGTAAGGGGCAATTCGGTTTCAGGAAGGGGGATACTCTCTCCATCATCCAAGAAAAGGACTGGGATAGGCTCCCCCCAATAACGTTGCCTAGCAAAAAGCCAATCCCTCAGCTTGTAGTTCACCTGTTGTAAGTTGGAGCGGACACTGATAACTGATAAGAAATGATGTCTCATGTATAAACTATGAACAACACATCAATTTAGGAAATAACCTTTCTCTTCCCATTCTCTGTTTTCTCAGCCCACTCAATGACTTTGGTAGCAGCTTCCTTGCTTGAGAGCCCATCGATGTCAAGCCCTGATGTTGAACTTGATGAATTGGTAATAATACCTACTCCTGAAAATGCCTTAGTTGAATCACCAATATTTCTATCCTCTGGCACAACCACCACCACTATGGGAATATCATATTTCACGGCAAAGTCATAATCACGGGAATCATGTGCAGGTACAGCCATTATTGCTCCAGTTCCATAACTGTAAAATACCAAATTACAAAATATCCTAAAGTAGATATAATGATAGGTTCTAAACAAAGTAGAATTGGTGAATAGTAGTTGTTGTATGTATTAGTTGAAAGCTATATGGGTACAAGCAAGCGTCCACAGATGCATAGATGGCCATTCCAGAGGGACACTCTCCAATAGTTCCTCTCTTACTCCCTACCTCTCACCTCTCCACACTTCCCATTTGAAACATACATTCTCTCTCCTCAAACTCTGACTAACCTGATTTTCCCTTTCTATTTCCTCTTATGTAAGTATCAACTATTGGAGGCCTATCAGAACATAAGACCAAACAAATTTGATGAAGTTGTCCACCAGACTTGCCACATAGTCAAATAATGCATGCCTTCAATATACTTCTGAACGTCAAATTTCAACATCCTTGCTCCGAAAAATGATAACAATGGTAATGAACCATAGATATGAGGCATAAACCCATACTGACCTCCCTAAGACATAATCTGCAACCCATATTGGGATAGCATTCCCATTAACTGGATTTCTAGCATAGCAACCAGAGAAAACCCCAGTTTTTTCCTTTTGCAGCTCAGTCCTCTCAAGGTCACTCTTCCTTGAAGCAAGATCTCTGTACTCCTCCACCTGTGTTCAAATCTAAGCCTGATTGTTTATTTATTCTTTTTTTTTTAAGAGAGAGAATAAAAAAGAGATAAAGTTGGCAAATGAACAAAAAAGTTTACTTTTTTGCTTTCTGTTGGAGATACCATAGATGACAATAAGGAGTACTCTGGAGCCACAACCAAATACCTACATTGAGAGATAGCATCAATAAAATTTCCTTGAAGTACGAGAACATTTTGTCCAAGAAATTCATCGAGTTTGGATAGGAGGAAGTGTGTTATCAGTACGTTGCTCCAAATATAGTATCTGGTCTGGTAGTATAAACTGTAATCTTGAGGTCACTATCTTTTCCACTGCTGTCAATAACACAAAATTCAATCTCAGCCCCTTCTGATCTCCCAATCCAGTTTCTTTGCATGTCTTTTATACTTTCAGGCCAGTCAAGGTCATCTAGATCATCAAGAAGACGATCAGCATATGCAGTAATCTTGAGCATCCATTGCCGCATTGGCTGCTTGGCAACAAATAATGACACTGTAAAATTATAAAACCATCCAAAAGTTTTGAACTAAGCAAACAGTTTGGCTTTGACAAAAAGTTAGGTTTAAAGAACATGATCATCAAAATAATATAATAGTAATAATAGATGTGTTTAACAAAAAGAAAAAAATATTAACCTTCCTTATAACTGGATGACCCCCACGCTCGCTGACACCATCAATTACCTCTTCATTGGCCAAGACAGTGCCAAGAGCAGGGCACCAGTTAACTGGTACTTCAGCCTGAATGTATAGTAATTGACTATAAGATATTTTTGTTAGCGGGAATGGCTGTGAAACCAAAAATACTTGATATAGTCATGACCTGATATGCTAATCCTCTCTTCAACAGTTGAAGAAAAATCCACTGAGTCCACTTATAATAATCTGGTTCGATTGTGGAAATTTCACGATCCCAGTCATATGAAAACCCCAATGATTTAAGCTGTAATATCAGGTGCAATCAAAAGCATACATGTTACTTGACTTTGCCATAATTACCCGACCAGTCATAATATCCAACCGTAAGCAGTCTCAAATGCTTCTATGGAACAATTACCAATTACTGATATGTTAGGGTCACCATACTTTACGCAACTAAAAGTCTAATTTCATTCGTTATTCTTCAGAATCGAAAGACAGCTAAAATCATAGTAAAGCCCATAACAAGAAGCCTCAGCAGTTATGAATTGAGTCATAAGGGACAGACTGTTCCTTATTTTTTACTTTACAATATGAAATTTGCAATTCCAAACATGCTCACCGTTATAGTGTGCTTCGGCTTGAAGTTCAGGTCATTAAATATCAAAACCGAAAAAATGGTATTCTAATTAATTTGTCGTAAAAAAGTGTAGCTGAAATCATTCAAGAAAAAGAATACAAGTAAGGAAAAACACAGCATGACCTGAGAGCGGAAGCGATTAATATTCCTCAAAGTAGTGATTTTGGGGTGAGTTCCTGTCTGCGGGGTAAAAGGTTAGCACATGTTGACATTAAAGACTAACCATAATGGTAGTTCGTGCTTCGTAGTAATATAACTGGAAGCTGTGAGATCAAACCTCAATAGCATATTGCTCCGCAGGCAATCCAAAAGCATCCCAGCCCATTGGATGCAAAACATTATAACCTTGCATGCGTTTGAATCTAGCGAGAATGTCTGTAGCAGTATAACCTAGAGGATGACCAACATGTAATCCTGATCCACTACAAACATGTCGAAGAGAGAGTATGAACTTCTGAAGGACGCCACATATACAAGAAAAATAAGATAAAATAGGCATCAATTATCGATCCTTAAACAACACGAATTGACACGAGACTTGCCAGTACTATCTCAAGCAAAGGTGACAAAATAAAATAGTCAATAACTCAGAATCCAACAGGAGAATTTGAAACCTGGGATAAGGGAACATATCAAGCACGTAGAATTTAGGCTTAGAAGTATCAATTTCATCAGGAGTTCGAAAAGTTCGATTTTCCTCCCAGTAACGCTGCCATTTGGGCTCTATTTCATGGAAGGGGTAAGCCCTCCTCACCTCTTGCTGCTTCTGCTCCTCAACCTCATTCACTTCCCCCGTCAAGGCACTTCTGATTCTACCTCGGGTAACACAAATGCCGCAGCTCAAGCTACTACCGTATAAACGACCAGCAGAATACTTTCTTCTAAAAGCTGTAGTGGAGAATTTCCTGCACAGTCCGACTGAGGGGGGAGAGAAAGAAAACAATCGAAATGGACGAGCCGAAGAAGCTTCGAATTGGCCATGTACAGAGGAATGCAGTGCCTGCACGTTCATTTCGCATGAGAAGAAGAAGAAGACGAAGACGAAGAAGAAGAAGAAAATGGCTACTGCAGAGACCAACGGCAGAAGAAGATTGAGCGGGCAGGAAGAATGAACGAGATGATAGGATTTTGCACTTTTCGCGGTTATAGCGTTGTTCAGTAACTTCAGTTCGTTGGATTTCCTTTTTGGGCCGAATCAAGTGGGCCTGAATAGCCCTTACTGGGCTAATCTCACTAATGGCCTGAGGTTATTTACGAAAATAGCCCGAAAAAAAAATCTCGAAGCCGTATGGAAGGTACGCGAACGACATGTTTTATTACCACGCGAAAGGCGAAACATAATAACATATTTAATCAAGTTAGTGAAAATAGAAAACGATGTGTCGTTTGAGCATACTTGGTGAGAATTACACGTGTCGTAGACACCACAAGGAGATTTTAACAGCCAAGATATTTCCAATTTTTACATGAAGGCATTAGAGTTAGAGGAAGAGCTCTCTTTCCCTGGTTTCAGTTTTCTTCTGAAGCAATTTGATAGAGCTTAAGATTATCCATGGAATCGTCTGCAAGGGTTCTCTCCCCGACTCAATTTCCTTCTCTTTTTCCATTACCCAATTTAAATAGAAGCAGAGTTTTCCCACTCTGGCCAACGAAGCCGAAAGCCTCTAAGTTTACTCGCTTACAGTTACAATGCCATAAGATGTATGTTCCCGGTGGGTTCTCTCTCTCTCTCTGTGTTTCTGTTTTGGTACAGAAATTTTTGTTCGTTTGTTCATTTATTTTCGAATTTAGGGTTTGGAGAAGCGTCACCAGAAGCGAAGGCGGCCAAAAATCTGCACAATTTCTTCACGTATGTTGCTGTTAGGATCGTAATTGCGCAGCTTGAGGTTTTTCTTCAATTGCCTTTTTAAGTTGCTCTGCCATGTTGTTGTGTGCGTTTCCATTGGTATTGACTCTGGTTCTGGTAGAGCAGAGCTATAATCCAGAGGCACACGTGGAGTTAATGGAGTTTCTTGATAGACATTCACTGAATGATGGGGACAAGTTCCTGGCCAGTTTGATGCGCGAATCGTCTAGGCATAAGAGTCTTGGTAAAGCCCAAATCACCTCTTTTTCTGTCGATTGCCATAAAAAATGGACTTATTAGGAACATGTATAAAATAGATTCTTAGGAGAATACAGAAAGAGGAACGAATTGCATAATCTTCATTCAGATGAAGAAAAATGAAGTTTATTGTTGATCGACTTTCATGTTTGTGTTTGACTCTCATGTCTTTGTTCGTGATCGAACTCTTTGCTGGGGCAGCATTGCGCATACTAGAGGTGAGTTCTGTACTGCACACTTGAAAGTTGATTATTAATGCTCCCTTCTGTGGAAAACACTCATAAGCAGGCAAATCATTGATTCCAGGTTCGATCTGCATACTGCAAAAACGATTTTGAGTGGGACAACCTCAAGCGATTAGCATCCAAAGTAAGAAAACTAGTCTCTTTCTCTAGTAGTATCCTTAACAGAACTATGGTTGGTTGTTTGCTACCCTTCTGAGATTCATTATTTTCAGATGGCGAGTGAATCCAACACGAGATTGATGAGGGAATATGTGACAGAGACGAGTCCATCGGAAACTGAGAAGTGATGAAGTTCTGCACCTTCTCTTCTTTTTGCAGTTAAATAAGCGAGAGAATACATAAATCCAGTGTGTGTATGACATATGAGTAAAGGCACCAGTATGGCAACCCAACATGTAAGGGCTTTATACCAAACAAAAACTGGCAAACCCAGTGATGAAATATAGACATTGATTCTGAAATCTTCTTGCAAACTACACGTTACTATTAAAACAATTTAAGTTACTGAGATGTTGCAAAGCCCTCAAAGTTCTCACCTGTTGCAAAGTTCAGAAAAGCCTAAATCAGCTCCGGTCTGAAACATTATTTCGTGGTTTTGCGCACACATAAACAACACAGGCAACGCTATAAAATGCTTAAAAGAAATCAGAGGAGCAATAGATTTTAGGTGTAAGATTTTGGCTTACAGCAGAAGCAAACATACAAGATTTGCAGGCTTGGAGGAATGATTGTAATCTACATAACTAGAAGTGATAGTGTTGTGGAACTAGGTGAGAAGCCAGTAGAGTTGGGATCTTCATATTAATAGGCTCGGGGAAGAGCAACGACTGTAATTGTACCAACTCTCATCCATCCAATTTTTATTGTTCGGTTTCAGCAAATTTAGTAAGTTGTAAATCACCCATAATTTCAAATCAAAACAGAAGAATCTGCCGGTAAAGAATTGTTCCTTTTGGTTTTTGAGCCCACAAACTACGCTACAAAACTTACTGTCCGATGCCTTAAAATTGCTAATCAGTACAGGGAAACAACATACAGGTTTAATCCCCTTCCTGCAGCAAAAGGGGGGGAAATATCAATAAAGGTTATTGCTTATCTGAACTAAAACTGACGTTGAACATAGAACTCAGGTAATAAACTGCGTCTTCAGCGGTTGATTGGAGTGTGCATCCGGGTGACAATTCTTTCTATAGCATCACGAGACATCACAAGAGTATCATGTAGAAGAATGCTGTAAACGTTCAAACCCTGTAATATAAATTGGGAAAGAAGTCAAGAATCAGGATGAGAGATTAGAACACTCGAGAGAAATCAATGTCCATGGTAGCCCATATGAGCATCCTAGCAAGATACGCATCTCCATGAAATCTAATATGTCAGGAGTAACAGTGTAAGTGAGGAAAAACAAGAGGATCATCCAGTCATAAAATTAATAAGACAATAGAATAATAAGATTTTTCTGGCACATGAGTTTTAACAGTCAATGGAAGTCCTCGTGAAAGATCAAGAGCGCCTCAATGATCTTGAAAAATATGACATTCTAGAATTTTATGATTCTTGAAATTTGATTGTATTAAAGAAAAATGGAATGGAGATCTTAAATTACAATATTCAAATTTAACTGATAAAAGATATAGATCTATGCTAGGGGCCAAGGACTTTTATAAGCAACTTCAATGTAAATTCACTAATTATTAAACTAACAAAAAGAGGGAAGCAATCAGCAAACTCACTATAGAAGGCAAAACATTGACGTAATGAAGATTTTGTGTGGCCAACTTCAGCTTCTCATCTATGGGCCCACCATCAACTAGAAGAAGTTTCTTCGCTTTCTCCATTTCATTGAAATAGTTCACGATGTTCTTCGTCTTATGTGTTGGGACGTCCAAATTATCAAACACCAGAAGCTGTGAGTCACATAATATTTCCAAAGTGAGGTTTCAGAAGCATATGGAAAGAAAACATCACGCCTTAGAATGTATGTGGTGAACCAAACCAACGTAGAAAATAATCCATCTGACATTTTCAGGTTGTGTTTGGTATAGAATGGCTAAAATGATTGCAAGAAAGAAAGACCTGCCTTTCCTTCCGCAGCACGAGCTGAAAGAGCAATCTTCAAACCCAAGCGACGAACTTTCTTATTGAGCTTGAAAGCATGACTTCGCGGTTTAGGGCCATGCATTGCTGCCCCCCCTCTGAACTATAATCATCATCCAGTTCATTAACAACTGGTATATAATATCATCAACATTATGAATTTCATAATTCGAAGTAAGTCTTAGCTACCTGGGGACCACGCAGTGTTCCGTGCCTTGCTCTACCAGTACCCTTTTGTCGCCATGGCTTTCTCCCTGTTCCACTAACCTCACTAATTGTTTTTGTCGAATGTGTTCCCTGTTGCCACTCAAGATGCTTAGTAACAATAATCAATTCTAAAAATTCACCCATAATTAGCATCTTGCAGGTTAACTACCTTCTACATGTATATCGACACTGGAATAAGAATTGCAATATCAAGATATCCTTTATTCCAATGCAAGGCCCAAAACGTTAATGAATTTACCAACGGATTTGTCTCCTCGGTTGATCAAGTATATTAGATTTGATTAAAAAACAAATTAAAATGCAAGATTGAAAGATACTATGTGGCTAGTTCTCATAACATTCCCCTTTGCTGCAAATAATTAAGGAAATATCCATCAAACAAATGGGCAGGGGCAGAAACAGTTACTTGTAAAGAATAACAAATCCCACAACGCACATTGTTTCTATTCAATCAGTCATCTAGTGTGAAGCCCTAGTGCATAAAGATGCAACAACCAATACCTGTTGTCTCTTTGCAAGCTGCCATCTAACAACCCGATGAATGATGTCCTTCCTGATTGGAACGTCAAAAACATCTCCAGCCAAGACCATGAAGCCCTTGTCTTCATTTTGAAAGTTTGTCACAGGAATCATCAGGTCCTGAAGAAGTCCTAATAATGCCACATGATTTGTTAACCACGAAAGAGATCTATATACCAATTCTTCTTGCCATAATGAAGTAGTACGGAATATAGCCTGCAATTTTATGAAGGATGCAAAATGTGGAAGAATATTGCTACCTATCTTGCGCTCTTCTAGTTCCACTGGCGTAGCAGACAACAAATCAGAAGGAAATGCAGCCTTGCTTGATTCAGGAGTCAAAATTGAGGTGGAAAGCCCCTGCGAAGCAAAAAAACACCCAGCCTATATCGTACACAATGTTTAAAGTTAAATAAATTAATGGCTGTCTAACGACAGAAAAAATGGTATGCATAACATATAAAGATATGGTTTTAATCCTAATTTTACAGACTTCAATACCATGTCCCTTGAGCAAAAGATAAAACCTTGAATGGATATAATATTCATGTCAAGAGAGTAACTTTAAAACCTTGAATAGATATAATATTAATGTCAAGAGAGTACCTTTAAAAGGGTAGAATAGCCCGCGAACATCGAGCTACCCCCATTAACGCGGCCATAAATTTCTGCTCAAAACATATGATAAAAGATAATTAATTAAAGGAAAACGTCTAGACGTTCAAGGAAAAAAAATCTTGCAGACATGTAAAAAAAGATTAGGAATAAAGAGGAAGGGAGAATGTGTTACCATGGGAATTATATAATGACTGGTTCATAATACACGAAGAATTACATTGCCCAAATGTTGGAAAGGAGCCCAGAGAGCGCAACAGCCTTCTAGACACTGCGATTGCCATACTTACAACGAACCACTAAAAGAGTCGGCAGCAGTATTGCCACAATCAGACTGCTATCTATTCATCGACAAGAGTAAGTCCTTCGAAACCTTTGCTCTAGGCCTCCAAATCTAAGTTCGCTGAAAGATTATATATATGTGGTAACTAACTAAAGCAAAGTTCATCTAACGTACTGAGCAAGCTCCACTGGTAACTAATAAATAAAATCCCGTCGCAAAAAAATCACGTAATGAGCCATATATATTGCCGCTGCTCTTTTATAGATTGCTCGGTCAGTGAAGAAATAAATCAGAGATATAGAGAAGATGGAGCACAGTTGTTCAAGAACTTTAACCCCATGAGAAATGTTCAACTTAAATTAGCACCACGAAGATTTTAGCCATGGCTAGGAGGTGCTTGATGAAATTCCGAACTGAAAAGAAGAGAAATAAAATGACAGTTGAAGCCCCAAGAATATAAAAACCTGAATTAAGCGCAGATGCTCAGAACGAAAGATCTGCAAACTCCCAGCTACCGTTAGTGAAGAGGTGTGCTTCGCAGGTCCTGAGAATGAGAAAGCGCAAAGCTTGGCGAGGGAGACGAAGAACAAAAAGGGCTGCGGAAGCCGAAGGCATTAATGGGCCAGACTGTATGGGGTTGCCTCATTTTGGGCCGCCTCCATTCAAAATTGGGCTTTTCTTCCGGGTGTTATATGAACCTTTTGGATGGGTAGACTTTTGATAATTCTCTCCTCTTTTTTTTCTTTAATTTATTTTCTTTAGTAAATATTAGTTTGCAGAATACAAAACTAAATTAAATTGAACTAATTATAACTATTTGATTTGGTTTATTTCCAGCTTTCGTCATTTTTAAAATTAAACTTGTAAAGACTCATTTTAATCCGGCATTTTATTGTTTTGTATACAAAACACTCTTAGTGAAGTGTTTGGTTTGGTTTGGTTTATTCCCACAATTATAATCCATATAAATGAATTAAATTTACCCAACTCATCAGTTTAAGCTTTTGGGTTGAGTGGTAGTTTGTTGATTATTAAGACCCACCCCACATGTTATACTAAAAAAAATAAAAAAATTAACCATCTCTTTATGAATTTGAGGGACTTAGATTGAGAGAAATAACAAAACCTTTAGGAGTGGAGGGAGACAAAATGTCTATTTGGGATCGCATTAGATTTGGTATGTTTCAGATTTATCGGTAATTATCGATTATACTTTTGAAAGTGTACATGTGTTTTTGTTTTCATTTGTCTCAATGAAATGTTTGGTTAATCATCTCACTAATGATCTAATAGAGATTGAATAGACTAAAGTTGAATGACCTTCTTACTTATCCTATCATCTAATATATTACGATACTATATTTTTAACCATGAAGTATTTGAAGTAATATTATTCAACATGAATACTACAATCCTAAAATAAATTAGGAGAGGAAGGAGGTACATTATTGCCCCCATCGATTATCGTAATTCAAAAAGTCTATACAAAATGTCCAAAATTTAGCAGTTTTCCTCTAATTTACCTTCCTAAGTTAGATTCGGGTCCCCTTTTTTATTCGATTTCTTACCCTCCTACCCATATGCACCAAACACAATTTAATTTGAATAAGATATATCTTTTTTGACTAAAATGTATCGAACCATAATCCAAAGTATATTATCATAAAAGAGACGAAAAAAGGCTCTCGCACACACGTGGAGTTTTAGATTTTCCTTTCTGGGAAGAAAACCATGAACGCACCAACTTTTGAGCGAGTGAGGGGAAGCCTAAAGATGGTAAAAATAATAATTCACACGCCATCTTCTCAGACGTTTGGAATATTAATATTTTTATTTTTTGTAATCTAATTTCCAAATTAATTTTGACAAATTATAGCCAACGTAAGAGATATAATAGGATGAAAATTTCAACAATAATATGCACCCATATAGTCATATCATGTTATATTATCGCTCAACTAAAAAATTTAAACACATAAATTAAAAGGACAGTACAAATATATCAAAAAAAATTAGTAAAATTAGTAAAATAGCAATAACATTTAGTTTTTTCAAATATATCACTTTAAAAAAACGGAGGTCCAATTATAAAATGACAACTTTACCTAAATGATATACATCTGTAATATATTTATAATATATCTGACTATTGATACATGTATGTGATATATATCTGATATACTATTGATATGAAGTGTCTGATATATTTGCAATATATGTATGTGATATATATCTAGTATATTACTTATATGAGTGTTTGTGCGATATATATGTGATATACTATTGATATGAGTATCTGATATACTACTGATATAAGTGATTTTTTTTTGTTATATTTAAAAATTTTAAAAACATATGACATATTTTGAAATACATCGCAAATTTGCTAAATTAAAGTACACGTTAAAACTAAAAAAAAACATAAATATACTTGAATCTTTGTCATTAAATATATCAAATTATCCCTAATCTTTAAATTTCAATTTTTTAAAAATAACCCATCAAACTTTTTTAGTGTTAAATTTTGTAAATTTAAAAATTCTTGTGTCATATATATTGGACGTGCTATACCACATTTGGAAGATATTTATTATATATATATATATGTATATATGTTTTTTTTTTTGAGCAATTATCTTACATGGCAACTATTCTCTCAGCGACAAGTCCATTTTCTTGAAAAAAATATGGTAAAATAGGTAAGTAAAAAAGAAATTACATCAACCTTTCTGTTAGAAAACTATAAGCAATTATAATTAATTTGCATCACATGACATAGCAAAGAAAACTAATGATAGCTAGGTAAATCATGAACTCTTTAACATAACACGGTACTTTTCTTCTTCCTTTTTTTTCTTTTTTTAATAAAGATATCCAACCATTTTATTACTATAGACATGTGAGGAATAACGTAACATACAAAAAATGAGGTTTGATCCATATTTGATTTCCAAGTCTTCACAACTCTAGATACTATACTAGCTACAAACCCACACGTACACATACCACAACACTTCAATTTCATACGAAGTTGCTATTTACATGAATGCAAATAAAATAAAACAAATTCAATCATAACGTACCTAAATTTTGACCCATATTTGATTTCCAACTTCTCCGTTGGAACATATGATCGATCATATAATAATGTAATAAAAAGCATATATATGTTTTGTCAAACGGCCAGTTGGAACATTCCTCAAACATTGATACAAAAAGAAAAGGACAAGATATGACATGTATTTTATCATAACAATTTTGCGAAATCAATTTTATTAGAGTAGAGTGGGAGAGATATCCAAGGGAAAAGGATTGCCCAGAACGGTGTCCATGTAATACTGTGGATGAGCAGCATCCATCACCACAAATTGCATGTCTTCTGAAGGTTTCCAGTGTCTTTTTCTTTGGTTGATGAACCAGTTGTTGATTTGCTTCTGATCTAAGCCAGTGGATTGGGCTAGAGCTAGCTTCTGTGATTCCTATTCAAACACATTATTGATCCACAAAACATAGTTACCATTGCCACACGTAAATTAAACCCTAATGAGGACAAAATAGTTTTTTTTAAATTTGGCAAAACGGCGAAGCAGATTAGGCCTGCATAATTTTCAAAAACATAAAACTAAAAACAAAATTGTTATTGCTATCTCATGTTGAATTAATCTGTAGAAATGTGCATAAATATTGGAACCAAGAAATGAAGAGGGTACGTACAGATGGGTAAGGCCATTTGTAATGTCTGCTCCACCAATCAAGAAGTTGTTGTCTAGCCTCCTTGGGCAGCTTCCCTTTCTTCCTCTTCTTCATGAATTCTTGCTTGAGACTGCCCAAGTATCCGCTGTATTTCCGGAGAAGCTGACCTTTCAGTTCGCGGTCTTCGGCTTGGGGATCGATGGAGTGGCCGTTGATATCGACTTCTTCTTCGGATGATCCGTTCCTGTCAAATGCCTCGCCGCAAGCTGGGCAGCATGTACAAGTGTCAGCCAAGGACCAAACAAGAACATGTGAGTACGAACAAGTAGCCAAAACTGTCACAAATGGCTTTTCAAATTGAAGTTTGATAAACTTCAGAAAGTTTAAATTATAAACAAAAATCATGTAAAAATCCAGACACATATGATCAGTACCGCATAATGAAAGTTGGTTAGTTCTACACATTAACCAACGACTGCAGTGAGCTCGAATTTTCACTTACTTTCACTTTTTTGTTGACCTATGCAAGCTCTCCAACACCCTATTCCTGAATATGAATAGTTATGCTTACAAAAATCCAGTGTGTGGCTGGCTTCCTTTGGATGAGATGTTTATGTTTAGCCTAAAATGAAACAAGCCTTGTTCTAGAAATTGATAAGAATGGTTTTTGTCAGGACTAGGGCTGGGCAAGAGTTCAACAATTAGACTGAGATTAGACTTTGTTTACAACTAGTGAATTAAAATTTTCAAAGAATTATGATGTCTCATAGCTTGTGGTTTGAAGGGAGCCTTTCAGAATGAGAGAAAGAAAAACTATTTTCAGAAGAAAATGTGAATAGATACCTTTTTTCTGCTGTCCTCTAGTTTCTTAAGTGACTGCATAGACATATATAAACAAAAAGTATAAAAGCAGCAAAGAAAACATCACAATACACTTTCACATACTGCATTTCAAGTAAAAATACTGGAACTATCATTTCATAAAACAAGTTTTCGAACCTCGTAAAATAAAACCCGAATTTTAAAATTACATTTGTAGCTAAAGTCAACTATATATGTTCATCCCATAATATATCACTCGTGATAGATAGTCATGACTCGTGACAAGTGGAAATCAATACAAATGGAGAGGAAACAATAATGCTGGGTTCAAAAACAAGACCCCAGCTTTACCATGCTGTTAAAGATAAATAAACCACCGCTCAATCCAAACCCAAAAACTGAAGTTAATGAGTTGAGTCAACTTAATTCATATATGATATCTCAACATATATATGACATAACATAATAATTGATCACTTCAAACATCAAGATCATGACTTAGGTCATACTTTCAAAATCATAACGTTCAAAATTTCTTGAGGTAGAAAGGCTACACATGAAAAAAAACAATATATTGCAGATGGGATCTCAAAGACAATGCACAGTTCCAATGACGTACCATGGAAATTATGAGAGAGTGAACACAAACAAATAGCAAAAGAACATGGATTTATCAGTTCATGTTTGTTCCCAGAAATCAAGAATACAAGACTAAACATCTAGATGGAGCTTACCAATAACAAAGATTGTTGATCAATTTCCTAGCTATGCATAAAGATAATATATAAAAACATATGCAGTTAAAAAGGAAAAAAAAAAGTTTATAGACTCCGTTAATAACTATTTTGTTTTTAAGTTTTCTGTTTTTTAACCAAACTTCAAAAACAAAATTTTAAAAATTTACTTTCAAAGAAAGTAGATAACAAAAACAAAGAAGGTGAAAGTATTATACATCAACCAAATTCAAAAACAAAATAGTTATCAAACATATCCTTTGCTCCTAACCAAAGCAACGCATCTCACTAACTGACTTCGAAAAAATCAGTACCAACTCCCAGCTGAAAAATTAGGGACTAGTAACAAAACAAACCCTCGGTTTATTTGGCTCGAGAGCAACCTCTCTTTAGAGACAAATATATACCTGCAGCTTTTCTTATAAAAGAACAACTGCTTCCTCTTGGTCATCTAAATCAAGGTTCTTTTATAATTATGACATCTCCACCATCCCTTTAAATTTGAGTGCTTACGTTAGCCTCCTTTGTTGTATGTTTCTCACGTACCTTTAGGATGAGGGTGATTTTTTTAAAAAAATAACCAAACAAACCCTAAGAACAAACAATCTATAGTATACAATAATACGTTATGATGAACACAAAACTCACAGTTTTAGAAGCACCGTATTGAATTTCCAAAGCATGAAAATGAAAGAAATCAGCCAAGCAGCCAAACAAAAAAGTAAACAAACAAAACAAGTTTATTTAATTAATTAATTAAATAAACAGACCAGAAAGGTTACGTGTTAAACATATATAATTAAACATGCATGAATAATTGAGGGGATGGTTTGTGGTTTTCTGACCGGCGTCGGAGGAGGAGGAGATAGAGAGGGCTTTGAATTGGCAGTCGATCCGTTGAAGAAAAAGCATGGCATCCCTGAAGGGTTTGGAAAGTTCTTGCTCATATTTGGTCAGCATCTCACAGTAAGCTTCCATAAACTGGTCCAGCGCCGGATCTTCCCCAATACACGACGACGTCCCACTTATAGTTGCTGCAGAGGCACACGCTTGCTCTAGCCTCGCCACCACTTCCGGCGGCGCCCCCACCTACCCAAAAAACAAAATAAAACAAAGATCTAAAATTGAATTTGAATTTGAAATAATCTATGAGGGGAGGGGGCTGACCTTGCGGCAATTGACATAGGCGGCGAGGAGGCGGTGGTAGTGGGGATGGGCCATGATTTTGGCCTTCACTTGAGAGGAGGAAGAGGAGGAGGCAGCATTATTGGCGCCCTCATTGTTGGAGTTATTGTTGGTGTTGTTGTTTTCCATGAAGTAAGAAATAGGGTTAGTGGTGTTGTTATTTGGAGAGGGCTCGTAATTGTGAGGTGGAGGTGGTGGCGGGAGAGGGAGAAATGAGCTACATGCGCCATCTCCGCCGTGAGAGGACATTAAAGGCATCATCATCATCATGGAGCTGCATAACCCATTATTATTGTTTTGATCTCCAAAATTCATCATTCCTGAAGAACTCCCCCCTCCTCCACTTGGACCTTCCATCACAACAACCACTTTTGTGTGCGAAGTTGTGTGCGAAGTTGTGTATTACTTTCTCTCTCTGTCCTATTTAATCCCACTCTGGGGCACTCCCGGGATTTTAGCTTCGAAAGTTTCAGGCTTTTCTTTTGTTTTTCTTATCCTTAAGGATAAACAGTAATATATTTATATGTGTTTATGTATGTATATGACGACTCTGTTTTTCTTTTGGTTTTGGGTGTAAAGGGAACTGGAAAAGCCTGCTCATTGATCAGGGTTTCGTTTCATTTACATCCCCCTTGGAAAAGTGGGGAGTTGATGCCAAATTGTTCAAAGAAAAATCCCTCTGTTTCTGTGGGTGTTTTAGGTTTTGGTTTAGGGGTGATGGGCGTGTAATGAAAATGGAACGTGGTTTGGTTTTGTTGGGTGTGGGGGAAGTTTTGATTTTGTTTTGTTTTTTGGATGTATTATTATGTTATGTTATATGTTTTTGTTTGATGTTACCTTCCCGATGAAAACTCTCTCCCTCTTTTGTTGCACTGCCATTACTGGCAAAAGGAATAAGAGAGAGAGAGAAAGAAATGGGGGAACGATCAAATCGAGGAAGGGAAGGGAAATGAAGAGGGCACGCCACAGCCACAGCCACTCAGCAACAGATGCAAATCCAACCCAGTAAGCTAAACTAAGCAGTGGCTGCCTCTGCCCATGGAGGGACAAAACTTCTTACTTCGCTCTCTCGGGCCACGGAATCACACTCTTTTTTTTCTTATTATTATTATTTTTACTTATTTACTTACTACTACTACTACTGGACCTTTGATTGCAATCTGTCCACTCATTTTAATATTCGCTCTTTTTTTTCCTTGTCCTCTTCTCTCTCTCTTCTTCCTCATCCCCAAACCCTATTTCTTCTCTCTCAATCATTTCTTCCCACGCCTTTAATTTTCAACACAAGGAAGCTAACTAACATGGTTTTTTCCCCATCACTTCGGTTTATAAATAAAGTTGAAAAGGGAGTTGAGTTAACTTCCCACCTTCATCTCTCATCTTTCACTCTATTGAGTTTGACTCATGTAAATTAATCTCCTTTCTTTCTCAAAAGGGTGAAATTGATTACTTTATGGTTAAAAGGAGAGTGGTAATTTAAAAAATATCAACAAAATACCTCACTCGTTTGGACATGAGATCAATAGTGAGATTTTTTTTGAAAGAATAGTAAGAAATTTTTAAATCACTATTTGTTAATTAATCTATTGTTTTTTTTAACTATTCATTGACATGGATATTCTGTTGAAATCTTGAGTACTCTTAAGTGAATTTAACATTTTTTTTGTTGGGAGTATAATATGTCGGAGCGTAAATCAAACTCACAATCTATACGCTATACACCAATTACCGCATTGAAGCTTAAATTTTTTAGTTTATTTGTGATTTAATATGTTCTTTAAAATCGTGATTCCTTTGACTCATCAATCTGATCTCATTTTAGTGAAAATTGTAAATCCATGGAAGATAAAATTGAATAATAGTGATGATGTTATACATTTTGGGTAAAGAAAAAGGGGAAAAGAAAAGGGGTAATATGATATAATTATGGTCAGTCACCCCATCTAATCTGCTAATAATTTGGCATGGAAAAAAGTGAAGTTTTTTGCAGCGAAAAAAAAAAGGCTGGTAAAGTTAGTGGGACAGTCCGAATGTCGCTTCTTCTCTTTCACTCTACTTAGCTGCTAGCTCCTACTCTCTCTCTCTCTCTCTCTCTCTCTCTCTCTCTCTCTCCCTCCCTCCCATGGCTATTGCAGCAACTTTCTTTCCAATCTCCATTGAAGGGCGTGGAAGAAAGCTTTAAAAATCCTGCGTAAATCTCTGTGGAACAGTGCACATTAAATGTTTGAACGTTTTGTTCCTCTTTTTCTTTTCTTTCTTTCTTCTTTTTTTATTTATTTAGGCTTCATTATTACCCTTCACTGCATGGCCATACTCCCTGTCTTTATCTATGTTTGACATTCTTGGTATCAATAACTCCAATTCTATATTCTCCCGTTCAAATAAATATTACTGTAAATTGTTGAAAATGCAATTAAAATCATGTGCACAGAAGATGAAGATCTATAATATCTAAGTGACTAACAACATTTTCATAAATATAAGTATAAAATCTTTTAATGATACCAAAAGCAAACCACAGAAGGTATATGGACAATATAACACTGGGAGGTCATCCTCTCGAATATTGCTCCATACTTAATTTTGGAGTTCTTCCAATTGAACCACCGAAAATAAAAATGCACCAAAATAACGACTATCAATTCTTTACGATTTCAAGATCCTTCCTATTCGAATATGGTAACAGTTCATCCATGTACCCTTCTCTTTATTCAGGTGTCACAAGTGAACTAGCAAATAGACTGTACAAATCAAGAGTGTTCATGTTAGAATGGACAATATCATATCAACCGAGAGAAATGTGCACAATAGCTATATATAAAAGGAAATTTATAACTCTCTTGGGTGGGTGTGATCAAATGTGTAATCAATTTGAATAGGTAAAATAGTTCAGATTGAAGGGAGGTGATGGGTCTCTCTCTAGAGTGTAGGCTGGCGAGTTTAAAGTATCTGATGTGGAATTCGAAAACAAATATAAATTTCACTAAATAAAAATCTTTTTAATGCCAAACAGTACTAGTATTGTTCTAATAACATGAGCATAAAGCAGGTTAAAAGTTGAACTAAAAGGTAATTAGTTTGGATATCCACCACTACCTATTATATTAAAAAAACCTACGGATTAAGTCTATATATATATTATTTATAAAAAAATTTAAAATTTAAATTTGTACTTATATACTATATTTTACATTAATTTAATTTAATTCTACATTTTAAAGTTTTAAATTCAAAATTTTGAAAATATTTATAAAAAATAAATTTGCCAAACAATATTCCCTTAATTAATTTGATTTAAATGAGTTTGAAAATATAATTCGAATGGCATGATCAACAGGTTCTTATCTTTTTTTTTTCATTTTATTTGTTGCTGACTCTAGGTATTTTTCCACTGAATTTTGGTTAATTTAGTTTTAATTTTCTTGGATTTACAGTATAACATGATTCCTATTTCACCTTTTTCCAATGAGTCATAATACGTAGTTTATGATAATATATACTTTAACCAATTGAGTTAGGTTTATATTAACTTTATTTATTGGTTATTATAATAAACTTCTTTATGAAAATATAAATTTTTGTTAGGGGATGACATAAAACAAACTGAGAGAATTTTAATGAGATTGTAAAAACAAATAAATGATATATTAAATATAACATATGTCACAGAAAAAATAAATTCTACATCGAAGACTTCAATATAAAAGTAAATAATTCTTACTGTTTCACTTTTAATTAAAGTTATTACTTCCTTTCAATAAAAACAAACATCACACGTGTTAATAAAGGCAGCAGTACAAAATGCTTGATCTATAACGGCTTAAACTGAATAGATGGACTTTTAAAATAAAAGTATAAATGAAGAAAATGCTATACTTTTACCATTTCCAAATATTTTCTATATTCTTATGTATATATGAAAGCAGCTGAATTATATTAATCCAACAAAATTTGTTTGGTAAGACCTATTTAATCAACAAATTTTTTTTTGTCTTAAAAATTAACTTTATATGAATAGCTTCGGCGTATATTTTATTTCTTTGAGATTTTTACTGCATGAAAGACACTTGGAAATTTAATTTTTTTTATGATATGTTTTTGAAAAACTATATAATTGTGAGTTTTTGTAGTTGGTTTAATTCTTATTTGAGGTTTCATTTTGTTTTTTAAATTTTCAAAATTATATATTTTAGTTCCAAGACTATTTAAGAAAATCAATCATTTAGTATTAGACTTTTAAAATATATAATATTAAGTTACTTAGTATACTTGTCCTCAATTACCGATATGACTTCAATATATGCTTAAATCAACATTTTAATTAGTCATCCCATTTGTTCGAAATAAAAATAAAAAAAGAAATGATAAAAATGACTATTTAAACGAATTCATAAACTAAAGTCTCGTTTGATAATTTTTTTCTATAAAAACTTAAGTTAATTCGATTTTGTTATCTAACTCAAAATCGAAATCTTAGCCATATTTTGAAAACTAATAAACGAAAATAGTTTTCATAATTGTTTTTTAAAATCAGCTAATAATTCAAATGTGGCTCTTTTTTTTTTTCCTGACAAAATACCAAAATACTAAAGGAAGGCACCCCAAATTTACATTTCAATTCCCGTAAATGATAACTGATGAATCGATCTTACTAAATTAAGGCATTGCTTCATAAGACAATTGAAATCCTCAAATGTTAATAGGTTGAAGAAAAACACACCAAAATTGGAAACTCTCCACTTTTTTTTTTTTAAATTATTATTTAAGTAATATGAAACGCTCCACATTGAATCATCTTTTTAATAAAAACGATCGAGTAGCAACATTAAAGTGCCGCTTTTCACTAAGGTACAAGTAAGATGTCAAAACTACTACCAGCCTCAAAATCAAAGGCCTTTGGCATAAGAATCAAATCAAGAGTCTCTTTTGTTTATGATTGTGAAATCCAACCTGTTGATAGATATATATGTACCAGTAATTATAGGACGAATTGAGTGAGACATATATTTGTGACTCCATAGTCTCCTCCCAATTTATATTTCCCTACTAAACATCTCTTCTCTGTAAATTATCATGCATACATTGCTTCACCCATAAAAATTATTCTCTATTTGCATATTTAACTAATTTTTAGATGGTTAGTGTCAAAATTCCTTCGCAACACAATTTACTTCTTATAATCTTTGTTTTTTTAATATCGGTAAGTGTTCAAGCTAGCTTGTGATCTTATAAAGTGCTATAATTATTTCTGTGTGATTGACATTTTCTAATTCAACTGAGATGTCACGTATTTAGAAAATGACTTTCTCATCTTACGAGTCATTTATTAAACAATGTGTCTTGTGGAATATAATGTCTATTTTTTTTAAGTACAACATATAGGGATGGAGATTAAACTCACGACCTCTTAGTTGGAGATATGTATCAATTACCGTTGAACTGTGCTTGTTTCTTGGCGAATATAATGTCTATTTGAAGCAACACACATGGAAACA